AGGCTAAAAATGCGTTACGTAATGAAACCAGTGCGGTAATGAACTTCATTACGTAACTCAAATCACCTCAAATGAGTGCGGTAATGATGACTTATAAAAGCAATCGTAGATAAAATTAATTTACTCAATCGAAACACATTCGTTTAGCATATTTAAATTGATTTCTTGCAGGTGGTGGGGCAGAAAAGAAAAGCAACAAAAATTGTCCTTTCTTATAGTCCTTATTATTCTGTTTTTCTGTTCGCTTAACATCGATCATTATGTGGACCAATCTAGTGTCTGTGTTTATTGTCTTTTCTGCTTCGTGCTTGCTAATTTAATTCCATTTTTTATTGTTTCATACTTTCGATGTTTTTTTTTGTTTTTTTTTCTTTCTTATGTAGTTTGGTTTTTTTTCCTTAGTATTATTGTAGTGGACACTTTTTTGGGATTTTTCCTGTACGTGTCCCGAATATGAATAAATAAATAAATAAATGTCTCTACAAATAACAGTAAATCTAGAACTAGAAACAGTCTCTCAAGACGGCTAAACTCGTATGATTCTAGTTCTAGGTCTTGTGTTACTTCTAGTGACAGTACTAGAGCAAAGCTAGAACTAGTATTGCATTAATATTGTCTCTAGAAATAACACTAAATCTAGAACTAGAAACATTCGGGTTTTGCCGCACGTCTGTCAAGACGGCTAACCCCGTATGATTCTAGTTCTAGGTCTAGTGTTAGTTCTAGTCTTGTATTAGCACTATCACTAGAACTAACACTAGACCTAGAACTAGAAACATTCGGATTTAGCCGCAGGTCTCTCAAGACGGCTAAAGCCGTATAATTCTAGTTTTAGGTCTTGTGTTAGTTCTAGTGATAGTTCTAGTTTTAGTTCAACGAGAAATATACAACAATCTAACGCCACTAGAGCTAGTGATAGTTCTAGGTGTAGTGTTAATTCTAGTATTACATTAATATTGTCTCTAAAAATAACACTAAATCTAGAACTAGAAACATTCGAGTTTAGCCATACGTCTTTTAAGACGGCTAAACCCGAATATATCTAGTTCTAGGTCTAAAGCCGTGTGTCCACTAGCAAGTCACTTGCGGAAGAACTTCTGCAAGTATTTGCTGAAGTGTTTCCACTCAAACCGAAACTTGCGGAAGTCTGCTTCCAGAAGTAGTTTGTAGAAGTTATCACGACGAACTTGCTGCAAGAAATTGCAGACGTGTTTCCACACAATGTGAGTACAGCTTGCAGTAGTTTGCTTTTTTTACGAATGACAGTATAAAAATGTCTTGTGGCAAAATAAGATTGGCAGCTGCCATCGCAGCATATTTAATTAAAAAGAAACAAATTAAAAAAAAAACAAAAAGAAGTGTTTGGGTGAGAAATTGGATGCTGCGGCACGTAGATTTAAGTTTCCAAAATACATTACTTTAAGAATTGCGGACCGAAGACTCCATGCAGCTAAAAAATTTCCTGAGAATGTCTAATGATGATTTTGAATACATTTTATCTTTAATTCAAACAAGTATTCAAAAGCAGGGTACTAAAATGAGATTGGCTATACCTCCCAAAGACCGGCTTTTAGTTACTCTTCGAAGCATTTTGTTTTTTAATTTTATTCTTATAGTCTTTTGAGGACGTGTCCCATAATTCAGGATAACTTTCTTGTTTTTCAATTACCAAATGTGTTTTTTCACTACTCCAAACGAATTTATTTTTGTCCATTTTTATAAATTTTGAAAAGAACTAAAAAAAAAACACAAAACAAAACTGAAAACAGAAGAGAATACCACAAACCGTTTACTCACGTATACCCGACTTCTTCTGCAAGTCTTCAAAACACTTGTAGTTCACAGCAAGTCGTTCAAGTTACTTCCAGCAAGCAACAAACACGTGTTTCCACATAATTGCTGCAAGTAACTTCTGCAAGCCGTGACTTCTGGAAGTCGACTTCTAATACGTGTTTACACGACAAAAACTTCTGGAAGCAACTTCCGCAAGAAAACTTGGTAGTGGACACACGGCTTTATGTTAGTTCTACTTTCAGTTTAATAGAGAAATCTAGCTCTGAATATCAGTTAAAACTTTAACTAACACTAGACCTAGAACTAGAAGATCTCATTTCGTCATCATATTCTTTCCTCAATATATTGGAGGATTGATATTTGCATCATATTTCCCCAAAATGATGCAAATGAAACAAAAACCTTTTTACTTCAAAATAAGAAATCCTCTAAACTAATTTTAAACCCTGCACTATAAATAATAAATCAAGTTAAATAAGTCACCACTTATTATTGATTTTTTGTTCTCAATGGGTCACCCACATGTAACTTTATTCCACGTGTATAACTCATTAAAAAATTCTTAACTTTCCTTTTTATCCATTTTAATTAATAATTATTTTTTTTTATTTTCAGAAAAGTAACTTTAGCAATGACGTTATTAACAAAATCAGTTTTACCAGCTGTTATAGGAGTTTATTACGCTTACCTAAGAAATCAAAAAACAGTCGTTGAAAATCTCAAACGACACGTTTTCCCAACGATAGTCGCCTTTCTTGCAAATAGTATCTCAAGATCTTTATCATCCGTTCATCGAGGCATCACGTATCCATTAAGTTTATCTTCGAAATCGATCGAAACATCACATTCATCCTCAACGTTATTGGAGGATTCCTCAGAATCGATCCCGGAAAAATCCGTCGAATGCTTAGTGTTAACGGAACCGGAAGTACACACCGCGGATGTTATTTTTATCCATGGTCTTCATGGTTCTTTGGTGAATACGTGGAGACAAGGCGATTGGAGACACGAAAGGCACCATTTAAAACAAAAAATCGTCGAAAGACGGATGTCGACCGGCGAAATTAGGGATGATCGGATTCGAAAGATTTCTCTAAAAAGATCTTGTTCGGACGTTTATTCGGTTTGTCCGAAAAAAATGTCTAAATTATCCGAGGGAAGATGTTTCGAAACTTTCGGTGATTCCGATTTTGTCGAGGATAATAAAAAGTTATCGAAATGTTGGCCTAGGGATTGGTTACCAATTGATTGCCCCGGAGTTAGAGCGATCGCTTTGAATTATACGACGGATCCGCATCTTTGGAGACCAATTTGGATTAAAAAAAGAAATAGGTAATGATAATTTCTCAAAAAAAGACAATCGAATAAATAATTTTTTTAATTTAGAACATCCATGACTGAAAGAAGCAAAGAAATGATTGGACATCTTTTAGATTTAGGAGTTGGTAATAAACCGATTATTTGGGTTGGTCATTCTAAAGGAGGATTATTCATCAAACAAATCTTAATCGATTGTAAGTTATTAATGATAATTAATAATTATTTAAAAAAATAAAAATCCACCGTTTCACATTTTCGAAATACCGAGAATTTCATATAACTCGCAGTAATGAATGCAGTTACGAAACTACTGTACACTTGCACTCTTTCACATAAAATGCAACATAGATTAATTGTACAGGCATTCTGGGGTCTTGTGTTAGTTCTAGTGATAGTGCAAAACTAGAATTAACACTAGACCTAGAACTAGAAACATTCGGGTTTAGCCGTCTTGAGAGACGCACGGCTAAACCCGAATGTTTCTAGTTCTAGGTCTTGTGTTAATTTTAGTGATAGTGCTAGTGTAAATCTAGAACTAACACTAGAACTATAATTAAAAACATTCAGATTTAGCCGCACGTCTCTTAAGACGGCTAAACCCGAATGATACTAATTCTAGGTATTGTGTTAATTCTAGTGATAGTGCTAATGCAAAACTAGAACTAACACTAGACCTAGAACTAGTAACATTCGGGTTTAGCCGTCTTGAGAGACGCACGGCTAAACCCGAATGTTTCTAGTTCTAGGTCTTGTGTTAATTCTAGTGATAGTGCTAGTGTAAATCTAGAACTAACACTAGAACTATAATTAAAAACATTCAGATTTAGCCGCACGTCTCTCATGACGGCTAAACCCGAATGATTCTAGTTCTAGGTCTTGTGTTAGTTCTAGTGATAGTGCTAGTGCAAAACTAGAACTGACACTAGAACTAGAACTAAAAATATTCGGATTTGGCCGCACGTCTCTGAAGACGGCTAAATCCGAATGATTCTAGTTCTACGTCTTGTGTTAGTTCTAGTGATAGTGCTAGTGTAAAACTAGAACTAACACTAGATCTAGAACTAGAATCATTCGGATTTAGCCGTGCGTCTAAGGACGCACGGCTAAACCCGACTATTTCTAGTTCTAGGTCTAGTGTTAGTTCTTGTTTTAGTTTAATAAAAAATATGCAACACAGTGATATCTTATGCCAACTAGCGCTACCTAGCACTGTCACTAGAACTAACTTTAGACCTAAAAGTAGAAACATTCAGGTTTAGCCGTCTTAAGAGACGTATAGCTAAACCCGAATGGTTCTGGTTCTAGGTTTAGTCTTAGTTCTATTTTTCGTCCAATAAAAATACACCAGAATCTAATGCTCAATTAAAACTAGAACTAGCACTAGACCTAGATCTAGAAACATTCGGATTTAACCGCACGTCTCTCAAGACGGCTAAACCCGAATGATTCTAGTTCTAGATCTTGTGCTAGTTCTAGTGCTAGTGCAAAACTCGAACGTAACACCAGACCGAGAACTAGAAACATTCGGATTTAGCCGCACTGCTCTCAAGACTGCTAAATCCGTATGATTCTAGTTCTAGGTTTTGTGTTAATTCTAGTGACAGTAATAGTGCAAAGCTAGAACTAAAACTAGAATGCTTCTAGTTCTAGGTATAGTTTTAATTTCAGTTTTAGTGCAATAAAAATATGCAACATAGTGATACCTTATGCTAACTAGCGCTACTTATCCCTATCACTAGAACAAACATTAGACCTAGAACTAGAAACATTCGGATTTATTCCCACGTCTCTCAAGACGGCTAAAACCGAATAATTAGGGGCCTAATTGTTTTACTACAAAAACCGTATTGCGTAAAGATTGAAATTTTTACTACTTTTTTTCCTATTAAGGCCCACTTTTACCATCCTCCTGATAAACTATCTTGAGGATAGTTACCATGGTTACGGCGGTTTTAAGCGCTCTCATTGGCTAAGAGCTGGATTTATCTATTGGATAAATCTATCAAGAGGTGGTTAATGATCCAAATATTGTTAACATCTAAATTAATTTTATACGTAAGATTTTTCTAAGGTTTCTTACAGCTCGGCGGTCCGTTCGTGACGTCACGCAAATACTTAATTTATTCTATTTGTGTTTTGTAATGTTGTTATTTAACATTGTTAATTTCGCCGTGCGTCTTAAGATGGCTAAAAATGAATGATTCTAGTTCTAGGTTTAGTGTTAGTTCTACTTTTAGTTCAACGAGAAATATACAATAATTTAACGCCACTAGAACTAGTGATAGTTCTAGGTGTAGTGTTAGTTCTAGTATTGCATTAATATTGTCTCTAGAAATAACACTAAATCTAGAACTAGAAACATTCGGGTTTTGCCGCACGTCTGTTAAGACGGCTAACCCTGTATGATTCTAGTTCTAGGTCTAGTGTTAGTTCTAGTTTTGTATTAGTACTATCACTAGAACTAACACTAGACCTAGAGCTAGAAACATTCGGATTCGGAATATTTGGTTCATTAACCAAATATTGTTAACATCTAAATTAATTTTATACATAAGATTTTTCTAAGGTTTCTTACAGCTCGGCGGTCCGTTCGTGACGTCACGCAAATACTTAATTTATTCTATTTGTGTTTTGTAGTGTTGTTAGTTAACATTGTTAATTTCGCCGTGCGTCTTAAGATGGCTAAAAATGAATGATTCTAGTTCTAGGTTTAGTGTTAGTTCTACTTTTAATTCAATAAAAATATATAATCTAGCACTGAATACCAATTACAACTAGAACTAACACTAAAGCGTCTGAAGTCTTCTCCAAGCAGTTATTAATCTTTTCGAGCAGTATCTAACATATTGGAAGCAGTAGGAAACTTTTGGGAACAGTATCTCCTCTTTTGAAGTAGTTATTAGTCTTTTGCCAGCAGTATATTGTCTTCTCCAAGGAGTTATTAATTTTTTCCAGTAGTATTTAACATTTTGGAAGCAGTAGATAACTTTTGGAAACAGTATCTCCTCTTTTTAAGTAGTTATTAGTCTTTTGCCAGCAGTATCTATTGTTCTTCAAGGAGATATTAGCCTTTTCCAGCAGTATTTAGCAGTTTGGAAGCAGTAAGTAACTTTTGGAAACAATGGGCACGTTCAGCCGGTATCAACTGTTGAGTTGCTATATTAGCAGTCGCGGCTGAACGATACGCTAAGTAAGCGCTGTTTGTCAGCGGTTGTGAAATTCTAGGTTAGGATTAATATTTTTTATTTCTCCCCTTTAATTTTGAAAACTGACAAAACTGTATAAAAATGAATATTGTTAACGTAGAAACGCATCATCCACTATCTCTTGTAATAGCACAAAATTTTCAAAAATATTATTGTTGGTCATAGTTTTAGGTTATGCAGAATCGCTAATTCTCAATTGCTTGTTCAGCCGATTTCGTTCCGCTGTATTAAAGCTCATATAACTAGCTGACTGATTTAATTCAACTGTTGACACCTGCTGAACGTACCCAATATCTCCTCTTTCTAAGTGGTTATTAGTCTTTTGCCAGCAGTATCTAGTCTTCTCGCAGCAGTTATTAGTCCTTTCCAGCAGTATCTGGCGTTTTGAAAGCAGTAGGTAACTTTTGGTAATCCTCTTTCCGAATTGGTTTTGAAGACGCACGCAAAAAAATAGCAACATTCAAGTTTAGCCGTCTTAAAAGACACACGGCTAAACGGAAATTTCTACTTATTTAGTTCTAGTGCTAGTGTATAGTTCACTTTTTTTTCTATAATACCTGCCAAATTGTTGCAAAGATGGCAAAATTAACAGTGCGTTTTGTTTTATCATGACTGACGTTTGAGCTCACTCGTTTGACTGTTCGAAAAGAAAAGGTGCATAAAAAATGTTGTGGGTTGTTTATTTGCCATTTATTTACCTAGAAAAGGTGCTTTGTTTTATTTAATTACTTTGTAGCACGTTTTTACAACAAATATGCGCTTCGTTAAAATCGTATTTATCTAAAAATTTATTACTATTTAGTTACTGAAAATGTTACTAAAAATCAGGAAAACAACATAAATTATAGAAAAAAAATGAACTATAATTTTATTTGTTATTCTAGATTGTTGCATATTTTTAGCTATAACTAATATATTGACATGTTGCATTTTATGTGGGACAAAGTAAGTACGTTTCTATAGAAATATATTTTTGAATATTGCATTTTAAATTAAATTCACTGTATAATCACACTTCATTAAATAAAAACTCCATTCAAGGTTAGTCGGTTTTGTTTATCGACGGAATTGTTTTAATTCTTCATAAGATTATAAATATTTATGATTATGATACGCTCTCTACTTCGCTTATAAAAGGAATATTAAAACTGATTGAAAGAATTTAATAAAGTTATATATTTATTTTCAGCATGGGAAAACATAGAATTGAGTAAAATCTACCAACAAACCAAATCAATACTATTCTACAGCGTTCCTCATAAAGGATCATATCTTGCCGATTGTACGTTACCTTTATTAAAAAGAAGCGTGGAATTAACGGAGATTCAAAGAAGTACATCTAATTATTTATTAATTCTACTCATTATTTATTACTTATTTTTTTAGATTGCCCGTTTGTTTTAAATTTGCACACAAGGTTCCTAGAATTTTTACAAGAAACAAATTTAAACCCAGAAATATTTAGTTTTATTGAAACTTCGTTCACATTCATGTCGTTCCTTTATTTAAAAATCGTTGCCTTTGAGTCTTGCGATCCGGGAATAGGATTAATCTGCGGCGTCCCTTTGGATCATCGCGAAATTTGCAAGCCAGCCGCAAGGGACTGTTTTCTTTACCAAGAATTGGTGCGTTTAATAAAAAGTTCTGAACTTTTGATAAGAAGCTAGAACTACATTTCATTTTATTTGAGTTAGTAAAAACAGTATTTTTAAATCTCTTTTTCTCGCTGCCATATTTCATATATTCATACGTTGTACAACCAAAGATTTATCAATAAATATTAATCGGTTTACGTTTTTATTTAGTAACATATTTGAGGCAGTTATAAAAGTAATTAATTGTGATTTAGCGATTAGAGACTCATTTTTTGTTGTTTTTTTTTTTTAGTAGTTGTGTTTTTTTTTGTATATTAGATTAATAATTAAACTAATTGTTATAATTAGATGAATTTTTAAGACAGGATTACGCCTATTTGCTTGTGATATGAAAAGATTTATGCGTTACCTATCTTGTTAGAAACTGATTTGATTTAAACAAATTAATTTTTTTTTTTTTTGACCAAATGTACCTTTTTAGACCAATTAATAAAGAATTTCATTAAAATTTCTATTATTTTTTAAATTATAAATGTAACCGTAATTAATGAATTCGGGTTTAGCCATACCTACTTCTTTGAAGCCGGCTAAACCCATATGACTCTAGTTCTAGGTCTTGTGTTAGTTCTAGTGACAGTACTAGTGTAAAACTAGAACGAACACTAGACCTAGAAACATTCGGGTTTAGCCGCACGTCTCTCATGACTGCTAAACCCGAATGATTCTAGTTCCTAGGACTTGTGCTAGTTTTAATGACAGTACCAGTGCAAAACTAGGACTAACACTAGACCTAGAACTAGAAACATTTGGGTTTAGCCGTGCGTCTCTAAAGACGGCTAAACCCGAATGATTCTAGTTCTAAGTCTAATGTTAGTTCTATTTCAGTAAAAATAGACAATAATTTAACGCTTAGTAACAATTAAAACAAGAACTAACACTAGACTATTATTTTATATTACATTATTGCACTAGTTTTAGTGCAATAAAAATATACAACGTAGTGATATCTAGCAACATCATGTTTGGACTCATTTTAATTGATTTTTTTAATAAAGAATACATCATAAAAGAACACCATGAAGTTGTCTATTATAGTAGTCTTCATTAAAAATCCTTTAAAATGGGTACAAACACGACATATTTATCTTCAATATTAATGAAGTTATGGTCAACTTCCAGTAGAAATGTCAACGTTAATCTTGACATATTTGTAATCGTCGTAAAAAATCCTTTAAAATGAGCCCAAACATGATACGTTTAATTAAATTGCTATCTTTATTGTTGCTAACTTCGGGTTTAACGTTTTTTTATTCAAACTTCTTTGTTTTTTGAGATAAGTGCGTACTCATTTTAAAGGTTTTTTTTTAATAAAGAATACATCATGAAAGTACACCACGAAGTTGTCCATTTGTCTATTATATGATAACTGATCAGGTTTAAAATTTCAACCTCAATTTTGACATATTTGTAATCTTCATTAAAAATCTTTTAAAATGAGTACAAACACGACATATTTATCTTCAATATTAATGAAGTTATGGTCAACTTTCGGTTACAAATGTCAACGTCAATTTTGACATATTTGTAATCGTCGTGAAAAATCCTTTAAAATGAGCCCAAACATAATACATTTAATTCCAATATTAGTCGAGATATCAGCAACTTCCGGTTTGAAATGTCAATGTCATTTTGACAAATTCTTAATTTTTATAAAATGTCTAAATATTTGTCACAAAAACAAAAGTATAATTAAAAAAAAATAAAAAATTAAGGTTGGTATTAATATTTAAAAATTAAATTGCTATGTTCATTGTTGCTAATGTTTAATGTTTTTTATTCTACCTTTTTTGTTTGTTGAGATAAGTGCGTCATCTTTGGACTCATTTAAAGGGTTTGAATGAAGATGACTAATATGTCAAAATTGACGTTGACGTTTCAAACCGGAAATGATTACATTTGCATTAATATTAAAGTTAAATATGTCGAGTTTGTACTCATTTTAAAGGATTTTTTATTAAGTTGACAAATATGTCAAAATTAAAAGTTCGAACTTTTTGGTTTTTTGAGATATATGCGTCAAGTTTGGACTCACTTTAAAGGTTATTTTATTAAGATTACGAATATAATAATAAAATTAAAGTTGACACGGGGTATTCACGACTAAACCCGACTGTTTCTAGTTCTAGGTCTTGTGTTAGTGCTAGTGTAAAACTAGAACTAACACTAGACTAGAGTGCGTCTTCAGACTTTTCTAAGTTCTTGGCTAAACCTAAATCTTTCTAGTTCTAGGTCTAATGTTAGTTCTAGTTTTAAATTGTTATTTAACCCTAAATTCTTGTACATTTTAATTGATCAAAAAAATTTTTTTTTGATTTACTTCACTTACCTTGCTTATAATTTTATCCATATACCCATTTTGAATTAAATACAACCTTTAAATCCAATTAATTATGTGTTTTTCACTAAAAAAAACCTAAACTCAACGTCAATTCTGACAAGCAACTGCAATATTTGAATCTTAATCACCATGGTAACCGAGTCAAGTTGGATAACCTTAAAGTAATACAATTTTATTGAGTTTTTTTTATCAATTCTAACCTAATTTTTATTAATTTTAAAACAATTCGAATTCTTTACGATTATCTCGCATTTATAACAATTCGTTAATTGTAATTAATTTAAATCGATTCTAATTAAGAGAAATAAATTAAAAGTATCTTTTTGATTTAAGCCACTTACCTTGTTTATAATACCCTAGATAAACCAATTTTGAGTTAAACACAGCCTTTTAAACCAATTAAATAAGACTTTTTCCTTAAAAAAACTTAAATTCAATTTCAATTTTGTCAAGCACCTGCAATATTTGGATCTTAATCACCATGGTAACCGAGTCAAGTTGGATAACCTAAAAATAATTTAAATTTTGACCGTTAATATTTCGCTTTATATTTTTATTTATTTTATATCATTTTTTTTAAATTTTTATATTTTTGTGTATTGCTTTTTAAGTGAAATACACTGCATAAATAAAAACATAGAAATGCCAATTCTTCCAATGACGTCACACCAAGGCCTTTGCGTGGGGATGCGTTCATAACCGCAATTAATGAATTAGTGGCGCCATCTATTAATAAAAACATCATAACTAACTTCACTCGTGTCAAATTAAAACGTCAAATATCCCTACTTTGTTGTCAACCTAAAAACGTTTTATAAACGTTTTTTCAAAAATCTTAATAATGTCTCATTTATCTCGAAAAGATTTGGATGAGTTAAAACCGTCAGTGGATAAAGCGGTTTATAAAGTTTTAGGTGAAAGCGATTCTCACTTGGTTAGCACAGCCTTGCATTGTTTAGCATCGGGTTATGATCACAGAAAAACGACCGATAAATTGTGTTCTTACATTGATAGCAAGAAAGCGAGTCGTATCTCGGATAAATTATTCGATTTACTCGACGATTTGAGGTATAATTCGAAGAAAAGGGGCCACGATGAGCGCGATTACGACAGGGATAATAAAAGACCAAAGTCGAAGCATTACGATGAAAGAGAGCGAGGTGATGATCGGGATAGGAAGGTTAAAGAGATGATGAAAAGTGCGCAAAGACAAATTGAGGAAAGAAAAAGAACTTTGCCCGATAATGGATCATCAAACAGCAGTAAAAACGCAACAGAACAACCCGTAAACATCCCTACACCTAGTATTTATGGAATTCCAATGGGGTTATTAAATCGAGGGGATGCTGATAAAGCAAGGAAAATTGCCCAATTACAAGCCCAAATCAAAAATAAGCTTTCAATGGGAATTTTGGGGAACGTAGTAATACAAATGCCCGTTGCTGTTGATAAACCAACTCCATTAATATTAGATGAAGAAGGTAGAACGGTTGATAAATCAGGAAAAGCAGTACAACTCACACATGTAGCCCCAACTTTAAAAGCTAACATTCGCGCCAAAAAGCGAGAACAATTTAAATCACAACATCATGAGAAAAACGACGATAGTAACGTTGATAAATTCTACGATTATCGGTTAAGCATGAAACCAGCCCTTCGAAATAAAAGAACTTTAAGGTTCCATGAACCGGGGAAATTTCAACAACTTGCGGAACGATTAAGAATGAAAGCGCAACTTGAAAAGTTACAAAACGAAATTTCGCAAATTGCTAAAAAAACGGGGATTTCCTCCGCTACTAAATTAGCTTTAATTGCGAAATCGGAAGGTCTCTCGGAAGATATCCCACAAATGGAATGGTGGGATTCTGTTATTTTACTCGACGATTTAGACACTGTAGTTAATGGAAAAATTGCTGTTAAAGAAAGTGTTATTAATAATTTAGTTGAGCACCCCACTCAAGTTAGATGTCCATGTAAGTAAAAAAAAGAAATTTATTAACTCATTTTATTAATATTATTTTGAAAAAATTCAAAAATCATTATGTGTCTTAAAAATCGACAATTTTTTTTAATCACTGTAATGACCCAAAAAACACGTTAAAAACAAAAAGAATTAATCACACTATGGAAAGTAGTAGTTTCACTACTTTTAGAAGTTGCTAGAAAAAAAAAGCTTTAAAAGAATACTGGCTTTGATTAAATAATTTATAGTGGTTTTCAGTAGGTTGTTCTTGTAAGTTGATAAATCGTTTTGTATGTAGCAGTCCTTGCAATGTATCAGTGGACAACTTGTTTCTATTACAAGTTTTTAATAAATTAACGACAGTAAACAGTCTTTCCACATTCTCACTGCTGTGTGGAAGTGCAAGTAATTTCCTCACAAATTGGCTTAATAAAGGATACATTTGTGTATCATCGCCTTTTTTCATTAGAGAAATATCATGCCAGAAGTCTTCAACTCTAATATTTTTCTCAATTGTAAAAGGAAGAGTTGTGTTTCTCAATAGTAAATGACAGCTTTTGTTAGGTGAAGTCGGTAGAGATTGCAGAAACCTGTAACTTTCTTTATTATCTACAATTATCTACATTCGCTTATCATAAAANCAACGAATAAAATCATTCAACGGTAGGATGACTAATTGTAAGCTGATATAAAAAAGCGTCGCTATGAATAACTGAATTTAACTGAATTGAGCTCAGGACGACCTCTTTTAACCAACAGCGGAACTATACAAATTTTTTTTGCACTTTTGCGAACATCACGTGATTGAACGGCGACCTTAATGACAGCTTTTGTTAGGTTAAGTCGGTAGAGATTGCAGAAACCTGTAACTTTCTTTATTATCTACAACGCTACTAGATTCGCTTATCATAAAAGGGTTAAAAACACAGCAAATGGTAAAAAAAAGACTTTTTTTTAAGATCTTAAAAAGTTGTTAGATATTTCTTACAAGGTAGTCAATTTGAGCAAGACACTAAAAGTTGGTAGAGCTACCGAAAAGTTAGTAGAGTTGGCAATACTGTGTAGCTGGTTCTATGAACTGCACATATACGAATGTATAACATAAATTCAAATGAAAATATACAGGCTGGTTCGGGTTCTAGCCAAAATAAAAATTTGCGAATTCAGACTTCAGTATTATCAATTGCGTTCTCTTCGACTAAAATCTTTTCAGATTTTTAGCACTTCCGGTTATACCGGAAGTCGCCACCTACTTAATTTTTTTAAATGGAGCAGCCTGTATATTTTTACATATTTGGATTTATCTGTTCTCAAGGTTTATAAATAACTTTACTTTTTACAATTTGATTCCGCCGTTCTCGAGTTATTCGAATTTTTCTAGAAAAATCTGCTCCCGCAGACATTTGTTCAAAAAAATCAGAGAACACTGGATTTTTGGGATATCAATTTAGGATTCAGAATATGCTTAAGCAACATGATGGAATATGTTTTGCTGCGGAGAATGGCTGTCTAGAACGTTTGGTCACTCTACTATGGCACGTTAACTTTTCAAAATTTGGAAGTACCATAACTTCATTTTTTTAAATGGTACCCCCCATATTTTATTATTTAGTCGTCTTCGGTGTCTCATTCTACAGCTTTTATATCCCAGGTATGTCCCATGCCTAACATTAATAGTTTGGGAGATAATTAGAGTTTTTTGAAAAATGCACACCTATCATATGGATATTTAGCCTAGTGTGCCATGGAAAACAAGCCTTGTCAATGAGTTTTTGTCAAAGACTCGCTTGTTTACGTCACTTGATGCATGTGAGCTAATAATTATCTGTTAGATCCCTTAATATTAGTACGAAAACGAGTTAAAATCTATAACAATAACGAAAATAATATTTACACAATCAAGAGATTCTTAATTTATTTTTTATACATGAAAAGCGCGACAAAGATCGTAGTATGATTTCCAGATCTTCTTTGGCAGCTCGAATTGAGGTGTTGGAACTGGGCTCGAAATAAGCCAAGGTATTCACCTTTTCCTCTGCATTATCTACTACATTTTTTGGTTAGTTTAACACGTGATTAATTCGTCCAATATGCAAAAAATTTGCTTCTATTCTTCTAAATTTTACCTTTTGTTACTGGAGGTAAATGTGGATAGTTTTCATTAAACATTCTGCAAGTTCTACTAAGAACTTTGTTGCACTTTCAGTGCAATTTAGAATTTATTCATTTGTATAAACATTATTTACGTTATTAATATCCATTTTAACTGGTTTTAGACTCACAAGCATCAAGCAACGTAAATCTGACTTAGACGTTTGTCAATAAATCATTAAACATTTGTTTTCCATGGCACACTAGGTTAATATCGATATATGTGAGCATTTTTTAAAAAACCCTAATTATTCCCAAATTATTCATGTTAGGTATAGGACATATGGAGCATAAAAGGTGTAAATTGAGACGTTGAAGACGATTAAGTAATAAAATATCAAATCAATATCATTTCAAAATTTTGAAAAGTTTTCGTGCCATATTAAAGTGATCAAACGATCTAGACAGCCGTTCTTGGCACCAAAACATACTTCATCATCTTGGTTAAGCATGTTCTGAATCCTAAATTGATATCTCAAAAATCGAGTGTTCTCTGATTTTTGGAACAAAAAGCTGCTCCAGCACAGCTTTTTCTAAAAAAATTCGAATAACTTGAAAACGGCTGAATTAAATTGCAAAAAGTAAAGTTATTCATAATCCTTGAAAACAGAAAAGNCGATTTAGACACTGTAGTTAATGGAAAAATTGCTGTTAAAGAAAGTGTTATTAATAATTTAGTTGAGCACCCCACTCAAGTTAGATGTCCATGTAAGTAAAAAAAAGAAATTTATTAACTCATTTTATTAATATTATTTTGAAAAAATTCAAAAATGATGATGTGTCTTAAAAATCGACAATTTTTTTTAATCACTGTAATGACCCAAAAAACACGTTAAAAACAAAAAGAATTAATCACACTATGGAAAGTAGTAGTTTCACTACTTTTAGAAGTTGCTAGAAAAAAAAAGCTTTAAAAGAATACTGGCTTTGATTAAATAATTTATAGTGGTTTTCAGTAGGTTGTTCTTGTAAGTTGATAAATCGTTTTGTATGTAGCAGTCCTTGCAATGTATCAGTGGACAACTTGTTTCTATTACAAGTTTTTAATAAATTAACGACAGTAAACAGTCTTTCCACATTCTCACTGCTGTGTGGAAGTGCAAGTAATTTCCTCACAAATTGGCTTAATAAAGGATACATTTGTGTATCATCGCCTTTTTTCATTAGACAAATATCATGCCAGAAGTCTTCAACTCTAATATTTTTCTCAATTGTAAAAGGAAGAGTTGTGTTTCTCAATAGTAAATGACAGCTTTTGTTAGGTGAAGTCGGTAGAGATTGCAGAAACCTGTAACTTTCTTTATTATCTACAATTATCTACATTCGCTTATCATAAAAGGGTAAAAACACAGCAAATGGTAAAAAAAGACTTTTTTTTAAGAGCTTAAAAAGTTGTTAGATATTTCTTACAAGGTAGTAAATTTGAGCAAGATACTAAAAGTTGGTAGAGCTACCGAAAAGTTAGTAGAGTTGGCAACACTGTGTAGCTGGTTCTATGAATTGTGCGCATGCGCACACATACGTATAAAATATATATGTATAAAATATAAATTTGAGAATTCATACTTAAGTATTATCAATTGCGTTCTCTTCGACTAAAATCTTTTCAAATTTCTATGATTTCCGGTTATACCGGAAGTCGCCACCTACTTTATTTTTTTAAACAGAACACCTGTATATTTTTACATATTTGGATTTATCTGTTCTCAAGGTTTATAAATAACTTTACTTTTTACAATTTGATTCCGCCGTTCTCGAGTTATTCAATTTTTTCTGGAAAAATCTGCTGCCGGCAGACATTTGTTCAAAAAATCAGAGAAGACTGGATTTTTAGGATATCAATTTAGGATTCAGAACATGCTTAACCAACATGATGGAGTATGTTTTGGTGCCAAGAACGGCTGTCTAGAACGTTTGGTCACTTTACTATGGAACGTGAACTTTTCGAAATTTGGAAGTACCATAAGTTCATTTTTTTAAATGGCACCCCCCATATTTTATTACTTAGTCGTCTTCGGTGTCTCATTCTACATCTTTTATATCCCGTATGTCCCATACCTAACATTAATAGTTTGGGAAATAATTAGGGTTTTTTGAAAAATGCACACCTATCATATGGATATTTAGCCTAGTGTGCCATGGAAAACAAGCCTTGTCAATGAGTTTTTGTCAAAGACTCACTTGTTTACGTGACTTGATGCATGTGAGCTAATAATTATCTGTTAGNTAAATTGATATCTCAAAAATCGAGTGTTCTCTGATTTTTGGAACAAAAAGCTGCTCCAGCACAGCTTTTTCTAAAAAAATTCGAATAACTTGAAAACGGCTGAATTAAATTGCAAAAAGTAAAGTTATTCATAATCCTTGAAAACAGAAAAGTCCAAACTTGTAAAAATATACAGGATGTTCCACTTAAAAAAATAAAGTAGATGGCGACTTCCGGTATAACCGGATGTGTTAGAAATCTGAAAATATTTTAGTCGATGAGAACGCAATTGATAATACTTAAATCTGAAACGTCTAATGACCGGTCTCGCTGAGATTGATGTATAGGAACATCGCCAATATCACTTTAAAGTTTTTTTGTTTCGATGTTATAATGAGTGCGGGAAGTTAGCCCCCTATTTTTTAATTTTTCATTGTTCTAGATTGTTTTAGAGTTGTTCTACATTGTTCCAAAGCGGCAAATAGAAAAAAAAATTCAGCGAGAAAAACCGAAAAAACGGTTTTTTGACTAGCCCCCTATTTTTGCAAAAATCAGATTTTCTTTACTGTCCTGGGTTGTTTTAATTGTTCTAGTTATTGTTCTATCAAATCAAAATTCTAGGATGCATCATTACAAAGTTATAACTAAAAATAGGTTTGGCTGCCAAAATGTCTAGTTGATTGCTGTGACCATACTTTTTCTATTTTCAATTCCATATTACAAATATATACTTATTATACCTAAAGCAATCTGGAACAGCTATTATTTTCACTAGAACAACTCTATAAAGGACACTTTACTCTTTGAAAATTAAAGTTTTTGGAAGTTTCAGTCAGTAATTCTTGCGTCAGTGGTTTTAAATTAAACAATAAGAATTAAAACACATAGAACAATCTAAAATAACTCGTTCTTCGTTAACTCAATCTAAACTTTGCTGGTTCAAATTATTCTAGATGTGTTTTACGTTTAAACTAGGGAAAAAAAGTTTTTTCTGGTTACACGGACATTAATTTTGCAAAATCATATCCTCTTAAAAATACAGCGCAATATATACCTAACAAGAAAAGTAATAAATCAACCAATGAATAATCCAACTATTCGACCAGCAAACAAAAATACACTACTTGTATTATACATTATGTATTAAAAACTAAATATCTCTGTGTCCCACCCACACAGAGATACATTTATACAGTGACCCAAGCGCTCATAAATGGAATTTTGAACCATCAGGAACATATCCCTAGTGATTGGAGTGACGAAAATCCACGTTTAATAAGAGATCCTGATGGTTTATGAGCGTTTGGGTCATTGCGAAACCGAAGAAGGTCGACAATTTGAACATTTGTTATAAAAATCGTAATAAACGTGCAAAAAAACATGAAAACACTTTATTTTCCCATTTGGTCGTCAACCCCTCATAATTCTTGAAAGAATTAAGATATAGGGTTTTGGTTTATGGGTTGTGTTTCTTTTTCCATTACCTTTAAAATAAGATAAAACTCGACAGGGGTTGCTATTTAAAAATGTAGGGGTGGTCATCCCCTAAAAAATCTCCACATTGGAAGTTCTCTTGGAAACTCTTTAGTGATCCCCAAATTTTCAAATATTTTTCTTCACTCGTTCAAAACTTATAGCTCCGTCCCTGGCGTTTTGGGAAACCTGTATATACTGTTTATATATCCTGCTCAAAAACATTAGGGGAACACTTTTTTCGAAATCTGTAACTTTTTAAATAATAGTTCTAGGCAAATCAAATTTGGTTTGCTTCAACGGTATATATATATTTAACTAAAGACAATTACAAAAACAATGTCACAACTCTTAGTTACTTCTAAGTTACACTTAAAAATATAAATTAATAACGCAAAACAAAGTGAAAAAATTGTCAAGTATGCTTTGAATTCGCGAATGAAAGCCTACTAAAGATGACAAATGAATCTTAGGGAAGTGCAAGTTGCTCGTCTTCTCGCCCTTATTCAGCATGGCCACTCTATTCGACATGTTAGCAGGGATCTTCGAGTTTCCCCTTCTGTTATTCAGCGTTTGTGAAATCGGTTTCGGGAGACTAGCCAACATGTTAGAAGAACTGGACAAGGTCAAACCAAAAAACTACTCAACTCAAGACCGATTTCTTGTCCTTTCCTGTCTACGTACGCGTACTGTCACAACACGAGACCTCCTCAACGACCTAAGACGAGCACATGGAATAGAAATTTCTGATCAAACTGTTAGAAACAGATTAAAAGAAGCGAATTTGAAACCTAAAAGACCTATTCACGAACCACGCCTTAAGTAGCATCACAAAGCAGCGCGAATGAGATTTGCTCTGTATCACAGAGATTGACAACTTCGTCACTGGACGCCTGTACTATTTACAGACAAGTCCAGATTTCGTTTAACTCGTTGTGACGGTCGAATACGTGTATGTAGACGTCCTGGTGAACGCTACACAGCCGCTACTATACAGGAAGTGAATAGATTTGGTCGGGGATCTGTTATGGTTTGGGCAACAGAACTAATCTTGTTGTTGTTCCTGGTAGACTAAATGCCATGAATTACATCGAAAACATTTTGGAGGAAAAAAGAAAAAAGTATATATGCGATTTGAAAAAAAAATGACGTCAGAAGGGCCTTTAGGCAACCCTGAAAAAAAATCTGCTCACGTGTTCCCTGTGCCCCCCTTTTCACCAAAAAAAGTTTACATGAAACTTTTTTCGATTCGAGTTTTGGTTTTTGAGATGTATGCATATGTCATTTTAAATGAAACAGCCTGTATATGCCGTTGAAGAAAACCAAATTTGATTTGCCTAGAACTATTATCTAAAAAGTTACAGATTTCGAAAAAAGTGTTCCCCTAATTTTTTTTGGTAATTGTGTATATAAATATATAATAAATATATAGTATACATATATAAATATATCTCTGTGTGGGTGGGACACAGAGATATTTAGTTTTTAATACATAATGTATAATACAAATAGTGTATTTTTGTTTGCTGATCNTATCCTCTTAAAAATACAGCGAAATACATACCTAACAAGAAAAATAATAAATCAACCAATGAATAATCCAACTATTCGACCAGCAAACAAAAATACACTACTTGTATTATACATTATGTATTAAAAACTAAATATCTCTGTGTCCCACCCACACAGTGATACATTTATATATACTGTATGTATATTTATTATATTATTATACAGTGTAAAGTAACAGATATAGGCGATAAAATCATATAAACGGTTTATGGAAAAATCCCTGAAACGGGTCTAAGATTTAAATTTTTTGCAATTTTTTGGTGTAGATTTCAAATTTTTTTCGCCATTTTTAAACGAGTAATGGCGTCATCGATATTTTTTTTAAATGGCAATCCTCCATTTTTATTGCGGAATATGAAAGAGGATTTTTTTCTGAATCTAGTACAGTCAATATTAATATTGGTTACATAAGAAAATTTTCGAGAAAAATTACTTTAAAGTTTACTAACTTCAAATTTGTATAATGATAAAAATAGCAGTAGCCATGAGTAACTATGGTAACCAATTATTCTAAACAATTCCCTGAGTGTCAAAAACTGAATTTTTTATCCCACGTGTAAGTTAGCGCACATCCAAACAAGGTTTAGAACAGGATTTAGAACAATTTTCTAAGACGATTTAAAAAATGAAGAAGGATTTTAGTACTATTTTACGATTAATTAAATCGTTTTTTTATTAATAAAATTTTTTTAATTATATTTTGAAAAATGTTGTTTTATTTTTCTTTTTGTAGATATCTTCATAACACAGAATTTAAGAAAAACATTTTTTAAGCAAAAAATACTTTGTTATGTTGCTCAAGACGTTGAAAGAAAAAAGTATGTATATATGCGATTTGAAAAAATGAAAATGATGTCAGAAGGGCCTTTAGGCAACCTTGAAAAAAATCGGCTCATGTGTACCCTGTGTCCCCCTTTTCACCAAAAAAAGTTTACTTGAAACTTTTTTCGATTCGAGTTTTGGTTTTCGAAATATACAGTACCGCCTCTATGCTTGGCATATAATGTGTTCTCTAGTATATAATATAATTGTATTCACTCGTTATGCATTGCCTGATAATTGTATGAAAATTCGTCCAGTATTAGAAAAGTTATGTGAGAAAAACCAAATTATCATATACTTTTGAGCGGTACTGTAACCATATGACATTTTAAATGAAACACCCTGTATATGCCGTTGAAGTAAATCAAATTTAATTAGCCTAGAACTATTATCTAAAAAGTTACAGATTTCGAAAAAAGTGTTCCCCTAATTTTTTTGAGTAGGGTATATAAATACATAATAGATATATAGTATATATAAATATATCTCTGTGTGGGTGGGACACAGAGATATTTAGTTTTTAATACATAATGTATAATACAAATAGTGTATTTTTGTTTGCTGATCGAATAGTTGGATTATTCATTTGTTGATTTATTATATTAAACCTCTTTTTTCCTAGTTTAAACATAAAACACATCTAGAACAATTTGAATCAGTAAAGTTTGAGTTATTTTAGATTGTTCTATGTGTTTTAATCTTTATTGTGTAATTTAAAACCACTGACGCAAGAATTACTGACTTAAACTTCCAAAAACTTTAATTTTCAAAGAGTAAAGTGTCCTTTACAGAGTTGCTCTAGTGAAAATAATAGCTTTTCCAGATTACTTTAAGAATAATAAGTATATATTTGTAATATGGAATTGAAAATAGAAAAACTATGGTCACAGCAATCAACTAGACATTTTTTTAGCCAAACCTATTTTTAGTTATAACTTCGTAATGCTGTATCCCATAATTTTGGGTTTCTAGAACAATAACTAGAACAACAAAGAAAACCTGATTTTTCCAAAAATGAGGGGCTCGTCAAAAAACCCGTTTTTTCAAATTTTCTCGCCAAGTTTTTACTTTTACTATTTGCCGCTTTGGAACAATGTAGAACAACAAATCTAGAATAATTTAGAACAACAATGAAAGATTTAAAAATCATCAAAAAAAATGGGGGGCTAACTTCCTGCACTCTGTTGTAATAGTATATTAAAAAATAAGTTTCATAAAACATGTTTAAAATGCACGAATTCAAGTTAAAAAACGAGTCCAAGTCACGAGTTATTTTAATGAATGTATGCTTTAATGTCTTATGATACGGGTTTTTTGTCATTTTTTGTAATTCGCGATGTTATGCGATGCACTTTGAGTGACGCGATTAAAACTCAAGAATTTTGTTCTATTATTATTATTCATATTAATCCAAAAACAAAAATCAATTAACTTTATGCACTAATGTGTTAATAGCTCTATTAAAGAATTTAATTACAGAATAAAACGTTATGAAAAGTAGATTATCCTTATCAATGATGATAATGTAGCAATGAAACAAGGAATAGGGTAGAAAATACTAACTTTATAACAACAAAATATGCAGAAAATAAAAAATAAAAAAAGGTAATAAAAGTGAACGTGAACTGTAATAATCAAATCGAGTTAAATTAATAATAGTAGTACTAATCGGTAATAAATTTATTTTATTATAAGAAATATCATACAATAACAATGTTTAATGTTTTGGAATTTTTGCTTTCATTTTTTCCATTTTTCTTTGAGAGGCTCTGGATTTTCTTAATTCGTCATATTTTAACATTGAGTGGAGTACACCCTCTCGTATGTTTTTTTTTGAACACCAGTTTTGCAATGTTGATATACCTGTAAAAGCATAAAATTCTTGATAACTTTACTATCTAAATACCTAGATTACATGTCAATGTTTAAATATGAGTTATTACCTGGTAGAGGATAATTTAAATGATTTCTTAAATATAAATAACATCTTTTACTTAAATATCGTAAGGTGAATGCATTGGTAATGTCCGTTTGATTCCAATGTATTTTCTTTTTATTTTTCAATATTTTTGTTAATTGTGTTGGTGTAAAAACATTTTTGAATTTTTCCTTAATTTTTATATTTAAATTTGCGTTAGTCAAAGTATTCTTCTGTTGTCGTTTTGATAAAATACTTATTTGACGTTTGTATTTTTTTATCAAACTTTCTTTTTGAACCACAATGCTTTTTATACGATCATTTTCTGTTCTAAGTGAATTCATTTTTATATTCATCTCTTTAATAGTGTCAATAACATTAATACTACAAATAAAAATATTTGCAGATATTTCTGTCTGCGTTGTCACAGTTGATCTATCTGTTTCCTCAGTTTGGGTCATTGCAGCACAACCAGATTGAACATTGTCATTGCCTAAATCTTGTACATTCTCATTAAGAGAGTCTTGTAACTTACTCTCCGATCTTAATGACGGAAAAGAAAATTTCTTCAACGTTTTCTTTGGTTTTGAACCTAATAACTCGGACCTTAAATCCCGTTCAAAATCGTCTTTTACAAAATGTAAGGAACATATCCTTGCAGTATTCGGATCCGTCCCTAATTTACATTTCGCAAGCCAGCGTTCACAAACATTCTTATTCTTTGGAAATCGAAAGAATGAAATTTCCAATCCTTCTTTTCGGCATGCATCATACTTCGAAGTACAATTTTTCATTGCACAATGAGGGGTCATCTGAAATGTTAATATCATTTTTATAATACATATAATCGCAAAAAAAAATTATATTCAATTAAAATTCATTCATAGCCAGCTTTGTGAAAATACCAACAATATAAAAACTTTTTCTTATAACATAGATAACTTCTACTGTGTATGAATTACGTTGACATTTTAAAGTTTTGCAACTTTGAATAAAAAATGCACTACTTCAAAAGAGTAAAATTCATTTTAAAAGAATAATTTTTAAATTTTGGAAAATTATATGTTAGTATTTTTTTAATACTAATAAATAATATAAATATATGTACAAAAACCTAAAACAAATAATTTTAACATGTATAAAAATATGTAAAAAATAACTACTCAAACAGAAACGAAAAAATCTACGAAAAAAAAAATACAATAGAACAATAATAAAATAAATGTATTTTTTTATATTCAATACACAAACATATTGTATTGAAAAAGTATTTAGTGATTAACATACCTTAAAGATTATCAAAAAAGGCACACCAAACTATAATAAATGTCCTTTTAAAAATAAACTAAACTATATCTAAACTTTAAACGTAACACGACTATAAATTAAAACAGAACACGAAAGAATAATAACACAAAACATCCAAAACAAACAACACGAGGCGATGTTCAAACAGTTTATTATATTTTATATATGACTATGAGGCTATCTTTTACTCAACTCTTTGCTCTGACTGTATCGAACCAGTGACGTCAATCTGCGGGGTAATAATCGATACTACAGAGGCATAGGGAATTAGGTAACCTTATGTTGGTAATGTACAAGGTATAGACCATTAAGATCTTATATATAATCTAGAGTGCGTATGCTGTTGTCCCCACCACGCCTAAAATGAAGCTAGAAAGGTCGCCATATTAGATGTACCAACTTAGCGGGAAATTCGAAATTCTTATATATACTTATGCAAGAATNTAACATTGTGTTGATTTAGATGAAAATACTTTTTTCTATACTTTTTCAATGTTATATTTATTTAAGTTCTCTATTCGACATGTTTCGAGGATCCAGTCCTCATCTTCAGGAAAATTCCTGTACATGAATACAAGATAATCAAATCAAAATTAAGTTTGAAATTCAAAACAGTGTGTAACAGAAAAGAAAATTAAAATTATTTTTAGGTTATGTCAATCTTAAAGAAAAATTAAAAATTAAATAAACTAAGGAGACAATATTTAAAACAATTCTGATTGATCACGTTAACCTTTTGTTTATAAATAATAATTAGTTTATTTTAAAAGAACTGAACATTCCTTAAAAATAAACTTTACTTGAACTTCATTGTTAATTTCAAGTCAACTAACCAGAAACATTTAATGGACTGTTGTAAATAATCTTCCAACCTACCAAATTATAAAAAACATATGTGAAACAAAAAGAATTCGAAAACCTTCAACAAAAATAAAATTTTAATAAAAGTAACAATATATTTATGAGAATTGTGAGGTTATAATTGTAGGTACAATAGAGACTTGAAACTATAGCTAAGTTCAGGTCGGTACATCCAACATGTCTGACTTTCTGATTACCCGCACCACCACCACATACGCACTCTAGATTATATATAAGACCTCAATGCTATAGACCTGGTATTAAACCAGTCAACATTTAATCTACAAATTGTTTATTTTATAGACACGCACAAAACCAATATGATAAACTTAAAACTAAAGTTATTTTCACTAAACTAGGTGAAATTACAATATATATTTACGTATGAAACATCCTTGTTTTTCTTAACGTTTCGATACATAGCGACTGACTACCTGTCATTAGATACTATTAGATAGACTGTGTATCAATAGAATCTGTGTTAATACTAGAACTAACACTAGACCTAGAACTAGAAACGTTCGGGTTTAACCGCACGTCTAAAGATGGCTACATCCGAATGATTCTAGTTCTAGGATTACTTCTAGTTTAAGTGTAATAAAAATATGCAACATAGTGATATCTTATGCTAACTAGCGCTACCTACCACTGTTACTAGAACTAGAAACATTCCGAATGTTTCTAGGTCTAGTGTAAGTTCTACTTTTCTTTCAACAAAAATATACCACAATCTAACGCTAAACAACATTGAAAACTAGAACTAACACTAGACCAAGAACTAGAAACATTCGGGTTGAGCCGCTCGTCTCTCAAGACCGCTAAACCCGAATGATTCTAGTTCTAGGTCTTGTGTTAGTTCTAGTGCAATACTAGAACTAACACTAGACTGAGAACTAGAAACATTCGGATTTAGCCGCACGTTTCTCAAGACGGCTAAACCCAAATGTTTGTAGGTCTAGGGTTAGTTCTAGTTTTAGTTCAATAAAATATGGAACATAGTGATATACAGGTTGTGTCAAATGTCTGGAATATAGCCAATAACTTCGCCATTTGTGGTTTTAAAGAAAAATGTTTGAAATACAAGTTTCTTTATTAACCCTGCAGTGGTGACGTGAAATTTTGTAACACCAATGGTGACGTCGGTCTGACAGACCGACTTGCAAAAAGTGGTAACATTTCAGGTAACATTAGAAACAATAATCAGCCATAAAACAATATAAACATTTTATTTACTAACTTTCAATAAAAAAAAGAAATGGAAATAGTTATACAATGAAAATAAAACTAACATTATGTTTATCTTACAAAATAAGTCTCTCTTTTCTCTACAAAAATAAATGTTAATTGAAATCTTCTTCGAAACAGCCCTCGCACATTACATTAGTATGTGCAAGACACACAAATGTTTTGCACCTCTTGCGGTGATATCGGGTTTTCCTATTCTTTTTTGAACTACAGTAAACACAACGACCAGATTGTCCTTATTTGTTTCTGGATGGGAATTGTGTCGCCCTATATGGCAAATTTCACAAATTCTTTCACGCGTTGTTCGTGGTATATTGTCAATATATGCACAGGCTTTCAGATGATTCTCCAACAGCAAAAATGATAGCTTTTCAAGAAAATGTCTGCGCAAAGTTTTATCACCGGAATTATTGACATGAAAAATAATTTCAGCATTTATCGCAGATATATTGAGAAGACTGTAGAAAATAACTAACTGTCATTGTCTCGAATTACGTGCGCAGTTATAGTTAGCACAGAGTTGATCCACAGTGTCGATTCCGCCTTTGGTACTATTGTAATCAGTGATAATTATTGGTTTTCCAGTAGCATCGTCAATGGAGCCATCATCATGCATTGTTAAGATAAACAGGACATTTTTTTTTATTTGGAATGTAGGATATAAGAGTACAGTTCTTTCTAAACCCAAACAAACTTGAACCAACCGGACGATTTTTAGTGTTGGTAAATTTTGCTGGTAGACATCGTTTATTTTTACGAATAGTGCCAACAAGGGTTATTTTCTTCTTTAGCAGGGATTCAGCTAGTTCCAAACTGGTGAACCAATTATCGATAGTAAAGTTTCTACCTGTTCCCTGTATAGCTATGCATAATCTTTCAACAACCGATAATGCGCTGTTATTAGTTGAATATGGACCTTCTGGTTGCTTTCCGACATATACCTCTAAATTAGCGGTAGTACATTATATTACAAATATTATTGAACAATGTACAAATTTCACTTTGAGTGCGTTTTCTAAGTTATTGGCTATATTCCAGACATTTAACATACTTTGTATATCACTATGTTCCATATTTTTATTGCACTAAAACTAGAACTAACACTAGACCTAGAAACATTCGGGTTTAGCCGTATGTCTCTAAAGACGGCTAAACCCGAATGTTTATTCTGTTTCTTCTAGTTCTAGGTCTAATGTTAGTTCTAGTGACAGTGGCAGGTAACGCAAATTAACATAAGATATCACTATGTTGCATATTTTTATTGCATTAAAACTAGAATTAACACTAGACCTAGTACTAGAAACATGCGATACTTTCTAATTCTAGGTCTAGTGTTAGTTGGTTTAGGTTTACACTAGCACTATCGTTAGAACTAACACAAGACCTAGAACTAGAATCATTCGGGTTTAGCCGTCTTGGGAGACGTGGGGCTAAATCCGAATGTTTCTTGTTCTAGGTCTAGTGATAGTTCTAGTATTGCATTATCACTAGAACTAACAGAAGACCTAGAACTAGAATCATTCGGGTTTAGCCGTCTTTAGAGACGTGCGGCTAAACCCGAATGTTTCTATTTCTAGGTCTAATGTTCGTTCTAGTGACAATGGTAAGTAGCGCTAGTTAGCAGAAGATATCACTATGTTGCATTTTTTTATTGTATTAAAACTATCACAAGACCAAGAACTAGAATCATTCGGGGTTAGCCAAAGAAATTATATAACTAGAAGCAGCATTGCCTATCTCTGCTCGTATATAAGATTGAAGGCAACGTTGAAGTGTATGTTTTGGTATTGGTCCCACTGACAGTGGCGTGTATAGTTTCGGCAAAATCAGACATACATAGTGGTGTACATGAAGAAATGTATATATTAAATTCTTAAACACTAAAGTGACTAATTTTCTAGTTAGCCGTTGGTTTTCAGAAGACACTATTAAATTATAGTACCTTACTCTGCTTTTTCACTATTTACCATTGTTACTCACTATACAAGATCAAATGGCTTAGTCCTTTTTAATCTTCGTTGGACGTTTTCATTTTCAAAGAGAAGAGACATACTCGGATTAACGTGGTTATTAACTCTAGATTTATGTTTTTGTCCAAACTGCTTTATTTCGCTATATATACATACACGATCTCAAGATCCTTAAGGATATCTCTGTTTCTAACATACCATGCGCATTCACGATGTTTCTCAAGATTTTATTATGGAATCTTTGTATGGTTTCAATATGACATTTTTGGCGATTTGAGGATATGCTTGTATATTAGTATTTTATTGTCTATTGATAACTTTGATTATCTTAACTTTGATTAACCAGCTATATTGCCTGTTTCTTATTCGCAGTTCTTCCAGTTTTTACTTTATATGTACCCCCCATGTGAGTTTTTTTTATCTAGGTGTACCTATACCGAGATATTTTGTTGAGTCTGCATATGGATTGATGTTATTATTAATTGGGATTGGTGGTAAATCAACTAATTTTTTGTTTGTAATGTTAATATGAATGGACTTGTCTTCATTAATTTTAATTTTTCATTTTCTCGTCCATGTGGACAACATTTTGCAGTTTGTTTGGGGCCTTTTGAATATTATAGCGAAGAATATAGCAAAGTACTGTCCTCTGGCAGATTGTTTGTGTATAGCAGGTACAGAATTATTCTAAGTACACTACCTTGTGGAACACCAGCTTTTATCTCTTTTAAATCAGTAAATTCGTTTTCGTACTTGACTCGAAATAATCGGTCTGTAATATAAAATTCTAAGACATCCACATACTGTTTTGGCAATAATTTAGTAATGTTATGTATTAGGCCTTTATGCCATACTTTATCGAATGCTTGGGCTACATCCACAAATATAGCAGAGCAAATTTTTTTCCTTCGAGAGTTTTTTCTATCAGATCAGGTATTCTGTGTATGTATTTGATCAATTGTACTATGTTTTTCTCTATATCCGAATTGATACTCAGGAATAAGTTGGTTTTGTTCTATTAATGGTTTAAGCCCTTTGAGGAACAGTTTTTCAAAGAGTTTTGAGATTACTGGAAGCAACGAGATTGGTCTGTATGAAGCCACATTATATGGTGATTTTTTTGGCTTAGATATCATAATTCCCTCTGCAATCTTCCACATATTAGGTACGTGTTAGTTTTAAGATTGCTTTTCTAGGGACGTTTTTTACGATTTCTCCTGTAATCAAGTCAAAACCTGGTGTTTTCTTTGCACTTATATTCTTCCTAATTTCTTTAGCAACTTCATTTAGCGTTATATGTTTTATACGTTCACTAGTATTAACACATTTTTTGATCTCTTCACAATCTTTTTCTAGATGATTTGCAAATAATTCTGTCTTTTGTTTATTAGTTCTTGCCCATGTTCCATTATCGGTTCTGAGAAGTTGATTGTGAGTAATAGGACGTTTGAACTTTCTTGTTGCTCTCCATAATGAATAATCACTTCAATCAATAATCGTTTTAATTATTGTGTCAGATTATTGAATTTACTTTTATCGATGCCATGTTCTTCTAGCTTTTCTTTTTCTGCAATTAGTTTTCTAATTTCTTGAGGGTAATTGTTGTTGCCAGCAGTTTTACGTTTCAGTTATTTTGTGTTATTCCTTGCTGCAAGCTGAACATCTCGTACAAAGTTTTCCTCAACCGTATTTTTCCTTCAAGTTCCAATCTAAAGCTTTTCCAATCCGTTGTACCATTCGTCAGGGTTGGTTTTCTTTCCTTTTCAATGATTTTTTCACTTAAAGTCAGTACCACTGTTGTATGATCTGAAGCTAGCCATAGTTATCGTGTACTTCCAGAAAAGTGGATGAAAATTTCTTTGATATAATGAAGTCCAATAAATCAGGTCTCTTATCCGCATTAGTGGGCCAGTAAGTTGGGTTTCCTGATAAATGATAATTGGTTCCAATCTCTTAAATGGCTTTCAGTAGTTTTTTCCCTTTTGTAGTTGTGACTTCTGATCCCCATTATGTGTTTTTTGCATTAATATCTCCACTCAAGAGAAATTTGTTTCCAAGATGGTGTAAGTAGCTTTTATAATCTTCTTTCTTGTTGTTGTGCCTCGGCGAAAAATATGCTGCTGCAATTGTCATATTTTGATTATTGATTTTGACACCAACTACACACACGTGGTGTTCGATATTTTCTCTTATAATTATTGCGCTTCCACCTCTTGCTTCATTGCTGGGGTGGATGACATGGTATGTTTTGTAAAATCTTATATTAATAGTTTGTTGTTTTGTTAGATGTGTTTCTGTAATAATAAGAAAGCTGCAATTGTTTCTTCTTAACTAACTTTATTAAATTTTTTTTTAGTTGATCCCTTACGTCCTGTCTATATGCCAGTATTTTTAACGAAAAAAGAACGTAAAAAACTTCGTAGGCAAAATCGCCGTGAGATGTGGAAAGAAGAACAAGAAAAGATTAGATTAGGTTTAGAAGCCCCCCCGGAGCCAAAACTGCGAATTTCAAATTTAATGCGAGTTCTTGGAACGGAGGCGGTTCAAGATCCAACAAAAATCGAAGCGCACGTTCGTGAGCAAATGGCGAAGCGACAAAAAGCTCACGAAGAAGCCAACGCTTCCCGCCGATTAACAGCCGATCAAAAACGCGATAAAAAAATTAAAAAAATCAAGGAAGATACTTCAACGGGGGTTTACGTTTCTGTTTTTCGTATTCGAGAGTTACATGAATTGGCTTCGAAAAAATTTAAAGTTGAAACGAATGCGAAACAATTATTTATGACTGGGTGTGTGCTTATGTATCCGGATTGTTGTGTTGTTGTGGTTGAAGGGGGTCCAAAACAACAAAAAAAGTATAAAAGATTGATGTTGCATCGGATTAAATGGGAGGAAGATACCGTTAAGGATCCGGATGGGAATGAAGTACCAAATAAATGTACCTTAGTTTGGGAGGGGACGAGTAAGCAAAGAAATTTTGGAGAAATTAAATTTAAGGTTGTTCCAACGGAAAGAATGGCGAGGGAACATTTTAAAAAACACAAAGTGGAACATTATTGGGATTTAGCTTATAGCGGGGCCGTGTTGGAGCCTACCATTGAATCATGAGGAATTGGAATGTGTAAACCAATTAATTTAGGTTTGCACTAATTTCATTATTAAAAATTAATTTTTTTTGTGTAAATATTGAATTTAAGATATGAAAACAAAAATTATTAATAAAATTAATAAATAAATAAAAAAGCGATGATATAATTATTAATCAATTTATAATTTGTTTTGACAAAAAAAATTGTGTATGGTAGGTTATGTAAGTTAAGATGGAATTAAAAGTTTTGTATAAAACAAAAAATTGTAAGAGGAATAAGATTGTGTTCTTAATTTGTATTGAAATTAATTAAAAATAGATGATGTTTTAAATGAAAAAATCCTTCTTGGTTTTCTTTTGCAACTCCAAAGACAGAAACTCCATGTCATTCGGATTTTAGGAAGTAGGTTATCAAATTTAATGGCAATTAACACGTTTAGACTTGCCATAGCGGATGAATTTCAATTATGAAAATAATGTGATGAATTGGCATGATTTAAGAGTAAGTAGAAATTATTATTTCAAGAACCAAAAGCTAAAGTAAGTGAAAATTATGGAAAAAATGACAGGTGGAAGGCACAACACGCTAAGTGATGCAAGAAGCAAGATGTCAGAAAGTGATAATATCATGGAGTAGGTAGATGGAAAAAAATGTTAGATAGGAAAAGATTACAAACAGAAGATATTGCTGACAAAAAACTAGATACTGTTTATATGCTAAATATTACTCCTACAAGTAAATATTGCTGGTAAAGATTAAATATTGCTTGCAGAGGACTACTTAGTTGCTGTCAGCAGAAGATTAGATACTAAAATCAGAAAACAAGATATTTTTTGTTGTGTCTTATAAACGCTTCGTGTTTATGCCGCGCACTTGCTATGTATGGACACAGCATAAAGCCTAGGTTACACGTAACGAGTATAGTGGCGAGACAGTGTTCACTGCCGAGCCCTCGATTGGTATAAATATACAGGTGGTCCATTTAACGTGAGACAAGCGATTATCTCGAAAACGTATTTTAAACTATATTTTTATTAAGGTGTCTTTATAAAGAATTATGAAATCATTCCGTCTTGCCACGAAACAGCACCTGCTTTACTAAAGAATTTGGTATATTTATCTCGAAACTGCCTTGCTTGTCGTGCTGCATTATTGGTATTGTGATTTCTGAATCAATATCTTCTTCGTCAACACAACCCTTCGGTAAGTAGTGGCTAGAACTTGTGAACAATCAAAGAGCAACCTGTTGGTAACAAGTTATTTTCAAGCATGCTACGTAATGCACTGTTCCTATAAATCCCTCCATCCGAGTTTCTCCCATTTGATCCAATATTGACATAGCGAAAACAGTACTCATGGTTAACAACAGCCATCAGGACAACACTGTTAGAGTCTTTATAATTAAAAAATTCACTTCCACAATTAGTAGGTGCTTGAAATAGTACGTGTTTTCCATCTATAGCACCCAGGGAAATTCCAGCAGAACAGCAGAGAGGTTTGTTTGTGCAGGCGCCGGCGCCGGTACCACCAAGAATCTACGGACTACCGAAGATTCACAAACCAGACGTCCCCCTCCGCCCTATCGTCAGCGCCCTCAACTCCCCAACATACCAACTGGCCAAACATCTTGCAAAGATTCTGTCTCCCTTTACAGGTAACACGGAATCGTATGTCAGGGATTCTACACATTTTGTGGAATCGGTAAAAGGTGTAAAGCTGGATGCTGGGGATATGTTGGTAAGTTTCGATGTGGAATCCCTTTTTACTAGGGTACTAGTTAAGGAAGCTGTAGAGGGTCTTCGCCGAAAAAGAAACAGAATACGTGCCAGATCTGGTGGAGTATTGCTTATCGTCGACGTATTTCAGCTGGAAAGGAGAATTTTACGAGCAGTTCGAAGGGGCAGCCATGGGATCTCCACTATCGCCAGTTATAGCTAATTTCTACATGGAATTATTCGAAGAGGACGCTTTGAAGAAGAGCCAGTGGAAACCAAAACTATGGCTCCGATATGTGGATGACACGTTTGTGATGTGGCAACATGGTCAAAAACGGCTCCAAGAGTTCTTGGATCACTTGAACTCTCAACATCCTATGATTAAGTTCACCATGGAAACAGAAACTGCCAAAAAACTACCTTTCCTAGATGTGTTGGTCACCAGGACGACAAATGTAGATATAGAACTTGTGTATACCGAAAGAAGACCCATACCAACAGGTATTTACAGGCATGTTCACATCATCATCCCCAACAGAAGAGGTCCGTGATCCGTACATTATTTCAGCGAGCAGCGAGACTATGTGAAGGAGAGAACTTGAAGAAGGAGCAACACTTTCTACGAGGCGTGCTGCAAAAGAATGGATACACTTCGAGGGACATCAACCAGGCCATCAAGCAGCGAAAGCAGAAAGAGGACACGGTAAGTACAAAAATTCTTCGCAAAATTCGGAACACACTCCCGATAGCCAAGAACAAACTAACTCTATTAAAAGGAGCGGGAGTCTATCGACTATCGTGTAGTTGTGGGAAGGTTTATGTTGGCCAAACTGGACGCAACGTCGAGTGCCGCATCAAGGAGCATGAGAGGGATGTAAAGCTGAAGAAGATTCAGCAGTCGGCGGTTGCGGAACATTGCCATGCAGAGGGGCACCGAATAGACTTCGAACAAACAAAGGTGCTGGCTAGGGATAACAGATACTACCAAAGACTGACAAGAGAAGCCATAGAGATCCACCGACATAAAAAATAACGTCAACAGAGAGGATGGCTGGGAGCTTAGCAGAACATGGAAGATGGTGGTGAACACGAAGACCTCTTCCCGCCTCACACCGGACGCGACGCAATTAGTTATTAATTAGTTTGTAATTAGCGTCTTCTATTCCGACTTATATATAGTTACCGATTTTTGATCTCATCACTTCGAACCAGTTTCTGAAGAAGGTTGCAACATGGCATCCGAAACGTCAAACCTTTTATTAAAAGACGCACGGCAAAACCCGAAAGTTTCTAGTTTTAGTTCTAATCTTAGTTTAATTTGACTTTTTGAAAAACACCCTGTATCTCTGAAACCGTAAGAGATATCGATATGCGGTTTTCGCCATTAAGTTTCTTATAAAAATCGAACCTCAGACACTGATATCATTTTTCCTCTATCTCTTATAGAAAGAGGAGTTTCTTTTTAAAAGTGTCCAATTTGGTCCAACCTGTACATCAAGTCTCAAAAGCGATTTAAATTTATCAGGATCTTCTGATTGAAATTCATTTAAAAGAGTGTTTGAAGCACCAAGATCTGATCTCAATAAAATCCATTGTCTTCTTCGCGCAATGTAACCTAGGCTTAACTATGCTCGACTACAAAGAGACTTAAAATTTTGGGTTTGAACTGAAAAACAAGCCTCATTTAAATGAAAACAACTTATTGGTTTTATATATATTTTTTATTATTTACGAAACAAAACAATATGTTTCCGTTTGCATTATTTCGAATACAATAATAATATTAATCATAGCATAGTCTTCAGGAAACTGAAAAACTGAGTTCTCATCGACTCAATCTCCACTTAAAAAGTCTTTTTTTAAAAACACCTCCGTTTCAAAATACAAGAAAATCGTCATCGTTTCCCTTCAAATCTTTAATCTCATTAATTAAATTATTAATTAATTATTAATTAATAATAATAGGTAATTTTTATACATTGTATGTACTGGATCACAACCGTCATCACGAGTTTTACTTCTTATTAATTCTTTTTTATTTAATTTTTTTGATGGTAATTATGGTAAAAACACTTTTTGTTTTATTAATCTTCTTTTTTCCTCTCAGAATCATTTTCATCGATTTATTCCAATTTTTTTTATCTCCTTTTCTTCAGAAACAAAATTATAAATGCTAAATATATGACAGCCTGCGTTAAATCGGACCAACACCGGCCGTTAAAAATAAAAAATTACTTGAAGGGCCGAAATTAACGGGAGTTTTAGGGCTAGCACAAGCATAAATAAATTCGTCGGATTGTAATTGAGCCCTCGACATGTTCGGTTCTGATGTTGAACGATGAAATTTAGGCATGTTCCTTGAAAACCCTTCCAAAGATGTGTAAATTTGTTTAAATAAAGGTCGTTCATCGCGGTTATATTTAATACAATCCTCAACTAAACGTTTAAACGCTTTTGGTGTGTCCGATCTGATTTTGTGTAAATCCGGCTTTAAAAAACCTCTCCCAACCATGTATAAAATTTGATCTTTATTATTAATATGACTATAAGGAAGTTGCATCGCTAACATTTCATATAAAACAACCCCAAAAGCGTAAACATCCGATTGGAAACTGTACGGATTATCTTCTTGCATTCTTATTATTTCTGGGGCCATCCACAAAATTGATCCGGTCGGTTGATGAAATTGTCTAGATCCGGCCCAACGAGTTTTCGCAGTTGCCAAACCGAAATCACCAATTTTTACGGTTAAATCTTCGTGTAAAAAGATATTATTCGATTTTAAATCGCGATGAATTATGTTTTTAGCGTGTAAATAGTCCATCCCTTGACTCGTTTGTCTCGCAATTTCAATTAAAGTTGTTAATTCAAATTTCGATTCGAATACATGTAAATGTTTATATAAACTTGAACCTTCACACCACTGGGTTACAATTGCTAAACTCGGTTGACTAACACATCCCATAAACAATAAAATATTAACGTGACGTGTTTTCCTTAAAACCGCAACTTCATTTTTAAACGCTTGTAATTGTGCGGTCGTCGGATCTTTTACGTTTAACATTTTAACAGCGACCGGGCCGTGCCAATGAGCTTTATAAACAGTTCCAAAACTACCCGAACCAACACGAGGACCAATAAAAATTTCACCCGGCGAAATTTCCCAATCTTCGATACTCTCGCGTGGCGCTAAAAGCGGTTTGCTTTCATCGGCCGATCTCGCACGCTGTCTTCGTGGTTGCAATGAACCGGTTGGGGAAGCTTGAGTACTTCTACAATGAGGGGACGATTCACCGTCGTTGTTGGTGTTGTTGCGATTTAATGATAAAGATCGCGGGCAATCGACGTCGTGGACTCCGCGGACATTGTTTATACAAACGTTTGGAGCTGAACTTGAACGATCTTGATGGCCTAAGGTACCACTATGACGTTGACGGTCTAAATAGGCGTGTTCTGCACGGCCAGGGTGAAGAATACCAGCGCTTGAATCGTTTGTACGTGCTAATAATGCACAATAATATGCGTCTGTCATACGGTTCTAAAAAAAAAATACTTTAATACAGCTGTTTCATATTTAGACTTTTATAGATTTAGAAGGGTTGGATTACAAATAACGTTAGGAAATATTTTGGAAAATTTATCTGAATGAAATGGATTAGATACTCGTAAAAAGCTACTACATAATGAACGTTTTGTTTAACATCCTTTGATTCCTTACTCAGAACATGTCAAAAAGTGAAAACGTTATGGAAAAAGTGACAGGTGGAAAGAAAACGATGTTGGATGGAAGACATAACACGCTACGTGATGGAAGAAGATGTTAGATGGAAAGAACAAGATGTAAGAAAGTAAAAATATCATGGAAAAGGTGACGAATGGAAGACACAACACGCTAAGTGATGGAAGAAGATTTTATATGCAAAAAACAAGATGTAAGAACGTGAAAAAATCATAGAAAAGATGAAAGATGGAAAGAAAACGATGTTGGATGGAAGACATAACACGCTACGTGATGGAAGAAGATGTTAGATGGAAAGAACAAGATGTAAGAAAGTAAAAATATCATGGAAAAGGTGACGAATGGAAGACACAACACGCTAAGTGATGGAAGAAGATTTTATATGCAAAAAACAAGATTTAAAATCTGAAAACATCATGGAATAGGTGACAGATGGAAAGAAAAGGATACTATCTGGAAGACACAATATGCTACGTGGTGTAAGAAGATGTTAAATGTAAGAAACAAGATGTCAGAATGTGAAAACGTTGTGAAAAAGGTGTCAGATGAAGAGAAAACAATGCTAAATGGGGAGACAGAATATCCTACGTGATGAAACAAGATGTCAAAATGTGAAAACGTTGTGGAAAAGGTGGCAGATGAACTGAAAACAGTGCTAGATGGAGAACAGAATACCTTACGTGATGGAACGAGATGTTTGATGCAAGCAACAAGACATCGGGAAGTGAAAACATCATCACGATACGTGATGGAAGAAGATGTTAAATGTAAGAAACAAAATGTTAGAATGTGAAAATTACAAACGGAAGCAAAAAGGTGTAAAATGATGGTCAATGGATATTGCTGACAAAAAACAAGATACTGCTTGCAGAAGGCAAAACATTACTCCCACATGATTATACAAGGGGTATTCCTGTAAGTCATGGAATTAATTTTAACCACAAACACTAGCGTTAAAATGATGATGATTCGTGTAAAAATCTTTAGTTTAGTAGTAGTAAGAAATTTTTAAACATTTTCTTAAATATTTTCAATATGGTTTGTCTTAAAAAGATAAAATTTGGTAAACAGTGCAATTTTATCATAAAAAATCGTTTAAGATCAATTTTGAAAATATGCAACCACCGGATCAATACTATACAGAATGTTCACAAATGTTATTTCGTTAAAACTTTATTATTTTGTCATAAACCTTTAAATTTTACAACTGATGCTAAAAGCCTATTTCATTTTAAAATTACTTTCACTCTTAAAAATTTTTATTTACACACATCGTTTTCGGGTTATTCGCAAAAAGATACAACCTCGATTATTAAATGTTTGCATTAATCGTAGGTACCTATGAAAACAAGTTGTAACTGGAGCAGTAAAGCAACTGTCAAATCATTACTTAACATTCGTCAGTCGGTAGTAGTTGTTTAAAATGGCAAATAATTACAGTTTTAGTGAGCAAACTGACATGCATTTAACATTGGGAGAGTGTTTAGGCAATGTTAACGCAATGGTGAGATGATATTGCAAATAACTGATGATATTGTTGATATCAACAGTTCGGACATTTCGGAATATCCTAAAGTATGGCAATTATATAGATAGCACTTGTCGGCAGTAGAAGAATTAAAAATTGCTGATCATCCGTTGCGAGTACAGTTTTGCCATACTATGATGGAAACATGTACTATTGATGCTGCGTGTTTAGAAAAAATACTTTTTATTATATATATATTTTTTATTTTACGATTTATTTTCATGGACGCCTACGATTCATGATAGTATTTCATGGACGAGGAATAACTCTAAAATGATGCGTCTAATCAAAAATTTCTAAGAGTAAAAATAATTTTAAAATGAAATAAGCTTTTAGAATCAGTTGGAAATTATAAGTGTTTACGACACAATAAAAAAATTGTAAGGAAATAACCTTTGTGGACACCTGTATTGCATTGATCCCGTGGTTGCATACTTTTAAAAGTGATCTTAAACGATTTCTCGTGATAACATTGCATTGTTTGCCAAATTTTATCTTTCTAAGACAAACCATATTGAAAATATTTAAAAAAATTTTAACTTTGAAGGTACATATCTTAACCATTTATGGGTTTAGACCAAAAATTTTTACACGAATCGTCATCATTTTAACTCTAGTATTTGTGATTAAAATTATGCCACGCCTTACAGAAATACCCTGTATAGTGTTTGCGAAAGAGTAAATATTACTTGTAGAAGACTAAACAATGCTTGTAGAGGACTAGTTGCTGCTAGTAGAGGATTGGACATTAAAAACAGAAGATAAGATACTTTTGGTAGAAGACTAGATACTCTACTATTGTTACTAGTACCACAAGACTAGGTATTGCTAATGCAACATTAGATACTGCTAATTGAAGGCTGATACTGCCAATAGAAGGTTACATACTGCTTGCAGAAGGCTTGATACTGTGTACAGAAGACTAAATACTACTTGCAGAAAACTAATTGTTGCTAGCAGAAGATTAGATGCCAAAAACAGAAGGCAAGATACTTCCGGTAGAGTACTAGACACTCTACTATTGGTAGCAGACTAAAATGGAACAATGTTTATTAGTAACGGGTTTTTAGATACAAGTTTCTTCCAGGTTCATCGTCTTTATACAAAGGTTGTCTTTAAGCAATAAAAGCCCAGTTTTGGTTAACCGATGGTTTTATTTGTATTTTTATAATTGGTGCGACACGTGTTCCGCCGTTCAGGCATCAATGGCACAAAAGAGTAGGAAAGTAGGCACAAAAGAAGGAATGTGAGTCAACATTTATACATAACATTAAACTTAATCTAGAAGTATATAGAAGATATTTACCGTCAAGGGCCAGATACACTAACTTCAAGAGTGCCACAGGTAGAAAACGACATATCGAATGATAAACCATTTTTGACATATATTCAATTCGAATTAGAGAATTACTAGATTGTTGAAACTGTTAAAAAACTTGTTAAACTCAAAAATAACTATACTTCTAGATTAAGTTCAATGTAATGTATAAGTTGACTCACGTTCCTTCTTTTGTGCCTAGCCGTGCTCGTTGATGCCTGAGCGGCGAAAGCCGTGTCGCACCAATTATAAAAATACAAATAAAAGCATCGTTTAAGCCAAAACTGGGCTTTTATTGCTCAACACCTACCTTTAGTTTTTAGCTAGTTACTGCTGTCACAAGACTAGATGGAAATCTAGATACTGCTAATAGAAGGTTACCTACTGCTTGCAAAAGATCAGATACTGCAGGCAGAAGACTAGATACTACTAATAAAAAACTAGATCCTTCTTATTGAACATCAGACACTACTAGCAAAACATTAAATAAAAAATTGAATCCTGTACGTCATCCCTAAGCAACCTTTTGACTTCCCTCATTAATACCAGCTTTAGGGAGAAGACTAAACAGTGAAGACTAATATTATATAGACTAGAGAGCTATTACTCTGTTTTTTAATTCGGAGGACTAAAATGAAAAGAGGAGAAAATTGAGCTTTTATTGCTCAATGCCTACCTTTAGTTTTTAGCTAGTTACTGCTACCACAAGACTAGATGGAAATCTAGATATTGCTAATAGAAGGTTACCTACTGCTTGCAGAAGACCAGATACTGCAGGCAGAAGACTACTTAGATAGTACTAATGGAAAACTACTTCCGGTCTACCGGAAGTAGATAACTTCGTTATTTTAAATGGAATCCTATAGTTTTCATTACACCTCTTAATTGTACGTAAAAAAATATTTTGACTTTCATAAAAGTTATTGGTATCTAGCGTTTTTCGTTTTGGAATTATTTTGATTTTAAGTTTTTTTTTGGCAAATTTCACCATGCTCTTTGAAACGCCATATCCCAGCCAACGTTCATTCAAAAAAGATCTAAATTGGTACAATTACTCTTCAGATGGTGTCAAATAGATTGTATCAGAGATTATTATCGAATTATAATAATGAATAATATGGAATTGAGTAGAGTTGAACGCGTTATTTCCGATTAGTTTACATCACCACATCAACAAACAAATCAACACAAGACTTGGAAACAGTGGCGCCGACTACGGGGGGCTGCGGGGCTTGAGCCCCCCCGATAGTCGGCGCCACGGGGTTTGAACCCCCCCGGAAAATCGTAAAAGTGTACAATTGTATTACTTATTATTAAGAAAAGTTCATATAAAGGTGTGTCCTAAAATGCTTCCTAAGGGAGGTAGAGCGCTTTGAAGAAGACGTTCAATATGTGGTTATTTCTCATTATTTCAAAAACTACTAGGGTTAGAAACACGAAATTTTGCATATCTAGCTATTTTTACGGGGCGAATACGATAATATAATCGAATGAAAAAGGGGGAGGAATTTATTTCCCATATTTCTTTTTGCTTTGATCTTTTCACTATTTTAACCTCAAAATTAGAATCTACGGAAAAACATACATAAAAAATGTTCTGCTTATAAAATGGTCTACGACCACTCGTTTTCAAGATAAATAATACTAAGTAAAATCTTAGTAGGCTCCTTTCATTTGTTGATCTTTGCTGTCAAGCGGTCGACAAAAAATTATTTTAGTGCAACAACCATTATAATTTACGTTTAATTAAATCAAAATGGTTCAATACTCAAACGAAGAGATGGCAAATATTCACTTTACGTACGGTAGAGCTGATGGAAATGCCAGAGAAGCACGAAGATTGTACGCAGAACGATAGCCAAATCTACAACTTCCCTGTGAACAAACGTTCGCTTCTATTCATAGAAGATTGTGTGAAACTGGGCGCTTTAAGGAAAATCGTTACGACTGTGGAAGATCATGCACTACGAGGACTGTAGAAGTGGAAGAAAGGGACTACAGTTCAGTCGTTGGATTATGGAACAATGGCGCCATGACAGAAATTTTCCGGAAAAAGTGTTGTTTACCGATGAAACTGGATTTACCCGAGATGGCGTCATTAACTTCCATAATATCCATGTTTGGGCCGATGAAAACCCATACAATGTTTTAGCCACGAAACATCAAGAACGATTTTCTATTAATGTATGGGTTGGTATTATTGGGGATCATTTAATTGGTCCGCATATACTTGATAACCGCCTCAACGGTACAACTTATCTTAACTTTTTGCAAAATACCTTGTTTGAACTGATGGAAGAAGTGCCGTATCAAACAGGAAGGGAAATGTGGTTTATGCATAATGGGGCTCCTCCTCATTTCAGCGTTCAAGTACGGCAATATTTAAATGAAACCTACCGTGAAAGATGGATAGGTCGAGGAGCGCCCGTAGCATGGCCCGCACGTTCGTCGGACTTGAATCCCATAGACTTCTTTTTCTGGGGTTACCTTAAATATTTAGTGTATGCAACACCAGTTAACAATGTCGAAGAGCTAGAACAACGTGTAAGGGACGGTTGTAACACTATTCGAAACAAACAAGGTATTTTTTGGAAAGTAAGACGTTCATTAATTAAACGAGTGAGATGTTGCATTGACATGGATGGTGGAATTTTTGAACAATTCTTATAACTCCTTTTGGTGTTATTTGTTAAAAATTTAAGTGCTTTTTGTTAATGTTTTAAGTTACACTTTTTATTTTTGTTAAATTGTTAATACGTTTTGTTTAGATTGTTTTTATTAAGGTTTTGGTAAAATTTTAAGTTATTATGAAAAATTAGTAACAATCATCTTGTGAATCATTTTGATAAAATTAACCATGATTCGCAGAAATTTTTGTAGACAATGTACGAAGTAATTTTTTATCACCCATTTGACAGCTGAAATCAAACCAATGAAAGAAGCCTAGATGAGAAATAACCACATATTGGACGTCTTCTTCAAAGCACTCTACCTCCCTTAGGAAGCATTTTAGGACACACCTTTATATGAACTTTTCTTCATGATTTTTTATGTAGAATCACACCTTTAAATATATGAACGCAATTTCCGGGCACCCTGTATACAATACAATTGTATTGTAATAAGGTGTACCATTTGAAAAAGTTCAGCCCCCCTTAAATATTAAAAAGGTGGCGCCACTGCTTGGAAATGTCTTATTGTCTTAGTTAAATGAAGTAGCTGTTGTTGTATGATATTAAAAAGGATTTTTTTAAAATATTATATAGGTTAGGAAAAGTGAAACAATTCTTTTTGGATTATTTTATAGGTTAGGTAATTTTTTTACCTGACATAATGAAGGTACACCATTAGCACACCTTTGATGAAACTTATATCCACAAGTTCGACAGCAAAACCCTTGAAAAAGTAGTCTCCGACAAGTCTCACAAAAGACGATTGAAAAAAACGTTTTCCGTACAAAGTTATGTGAGATGGTGGTTGGAATAGGAAACTTATCAATAACTTTGACAGTAATCTCGTCGCAATCCAACGTAGAAATATCAACATCCCAATTAATGGGAAACTCCGAACCTAACGCATACACACAACAAACCTCGCAAATTAAATTTCTTAATTTCATTGCTTTAGCTAAAGCCTCTCGTAGCGTTTGACCTTTTCTAACTTGCACACTCGTCCGTTGTTGATTTGGTAAATGTGCTCTAAGTAATTTATGTTTGGATAATGTATCAATTTCAGGACGTCTTGGGAAATATTGATACGTTGTTGTCGATTCGCACTCAACAGAACCATTATTCAATTCTTCTAATAATTTACGTTCTTTTGATTCCAATTCATGTAATTTACAGGTTAAATCGTCGTATTCTTTTAAGTACATAGACGAGGGTGGCCTAATATCCGCAAACTTTGCATTTAGGGTGTCGATATTAGCTCGAGTCAATGCGATAACATTTTGTATATTTCTGAGTTCGTTAATTTTGGAAATATCTGTTTCATCCCCACTGTCTGTTGTCGACATTTTCCGTAATCTAAAGTTGTTATTAGTACCATGAATGATGGGGGCCCCGTTTCCATTCAACACCAACTTCAACAGGATTCTAAAAGGACCCTAAACAATTTTATATTATTTTTTTATCGTTATGATAAAGGGGTTAATATTAATTTTTTTTTTGGATTTTGGATTAAATTAAAAGAATAATAACATACCAAAAACAAACACACTGAATATACCGATGTAAAAAAAAACGTAACCCGTGTTGTCGTCGTTGACGTCTCTCTCTCTTTTTTTTGACGTTTAATGTACGTGTGTGTGTGTATGTGTGCGGCGCGTTCTCTGTTGCGGTGTTGCCACGCGCAAAATCCTACTACTACAATGTTTACGTCATTTCTACACTTCTTCCATCCTTTTCAATTATAGATATTAACTCCAAAAATTCTAGTTAAAACACAACTTTATCAATAAGATATCAAATAAATTGTGTACTTTTTATATTTCGTTTTATTTGAATTGATCGTCATTTTATTTACTCGGTAAAACCAATTTAATGCATTGATAGCGTTTTTAAATCAAATTATACCCAGAATTTAAAATTAAAAAAAATTGGTGTGATCATTAAGGTTATGTTTGTCAAATTAAATGTCATTTTTGACGTTTTAAATAAATTTTAATTATTTTTATTTTAATTTTAGAATTAATCAATTTAATGATATTAAAATTAGTGTTTTAATTTCCTTGCTCAATTTAATTGTTTATATTAATTTATAACTAAATTAAATTAAAAACGTCAATTATGACAAATAATTAAAAATGGCGGTAAATTCAAAATTTTCGTATACAGTGAATTTCGTTTCACTTAAAATACAATATACAAAAATATGTTTCCATAGAAACCAGGACGTACCTACTAAACCCGAAACATTTTAGTTGTAGGTCTAGTGTTAGTTCTAACTTTAATTTATACACCGCTAGACCAAAAACTAGAATCATTCAGGTTTAGCAGTCTTAACCCTACGATGCATAAACCGGGCCTCTCAGGCCTCATAATTTTCTTAAAATAATTTCAATCGGCTTGAACATTTAGATATGCTCTAAACACGTCTTTATTGAATACACACTTGATTCAAAAACATTCAAGTGTATTTAGCAATCGAAAAAAAAATCGTTTCCATTAGCACTCCGTATTTGCATAAACCGGGCCTCCGAAGCCCGCGTACTACTAGTTACTATAGAACAAGTTTCTACTTGTTTATTACAGGTTGAGGGTTATTATAATTTATCAAACACTGCTGCGCGGAATTGTGCGTGTCTGTGCAAGTTAAAACGTGCATTGCTGTTGAATGTATAAAAGTAGGTGCAGCTGTTTTTCATTCAGTTGGAATAGAAGTTGGATTGAGTGAACTTGTAAGATACATGTGATAATGGCGTCAAAAAGGAATGGCGACCCCGGTTATGAAGAAATATAGGTGCAGTGGGCAGCTGAATGTGATGATCTGCCTTCTGAAGAAAGTGATGTGTCAGAAGCAGAAAATGATGACACAGAAGATAGAAATTTCGAATTGGTTCCTGACGAGTGTTCTGATCATGGTGACGATAATTCAGAGGATGATGTTGATGATATTGGTAAGCCTTCAACGAGCGGTTACATTGCTCCAAGTGGTCTGGTATGGAGTTTGAAACCTTCAGCAAAAAATAAAATTCAACCACACAACACTATTCGGCGTGCGCCCGGACTAGCAAGGAAACATATGGCTGCAACACCAAAAGAAGCGTTTCAGTTATTTGTAACTCCAGTTATTATACAAGAAATTGTGAACTGTACTAATTTAGAGGGCAAACGTGTTTATGGAGCAAAAGGAAAACCGTGGAAAGATGTAACTGTTGATGAATTTCTGCATTCTGTGGTTTACTTATTCATGCGGAAGTTGACAGAAGCTGGGATGTTCCTGCGAGAGAATTATTTTGTGATGAATTTGCCAATCCTGTATACCGAGCCACAATGTCCAGATTTGACGACAAGAGAACCCCCTAATGCGCGTTTGGGAACCAATAAGTTAGCAATGGTGTCCTACATTTGGGATTTATTCATTCAGCAATGCAAAACCTGCGTCATACCAGATACTAATGTAACTATTGATGAACAACTCGTTGGGTTTAGAGGTAGATTCACATTCGTTCAATATATGCCAAGTAAACCGGCAAAATATGGACTTAAAATATTTTGGATGTGTGAATCTACGTCTGGTTATATTTTGGATGGTTTAGTTTATGTTGGTCGCCAGCCCGGAGAACCTCCACATAAAAACCTGGGGCTTGAAGTAGTACAAACTCTTGTGCGTGGCATTCATAATTCTGGTCGCAATCTCACGATAGACAATTTCTTCACTAGTGTTCCGCTAGCAACTTATCTGTTGGATAAAAATATTACTGTTGTGGGTACATTACGTCAGAATAAGCGTGACATTCCGAGAGAAATGAAAGCCTCAAAAGATCGTGTAGTTCAAAATAACGTATGCATGGTAAGTAAAAAGAATCTATCAATGACGACACTAAGAAGAAGCCTGAAATCATCTCTCATTATAATAAAACAAAGGGCAGTGTTAACATCATGGATCAAATGGTGTCGACATACACGTGCAAGAGGCAAAGTAAACGATGGCCCAATACATTTTTCTTCAACATCATCGATGTTGCAGCACTACCCAAACTACAACATAGGAGTGACTCACAAACGCAGAATGTTTTTGAAAGATTTAGTGAAGGAATTAGTGATACCACATATGCAGAGAAGATCTACTAACCCTAACCTACGGCGTACTGTGCGGGAGTGTATGAACAGATTTATTGATATATGTGGTCCGCCAGCCGCTCACACAAGTGCAACAATTAAGAGAAAAAGATGCTCAGTAAGTCCCGCTGTTAAATTATTGAATGCCAATTTGATGTTAATTAATGTCATTTTGATTTTGATAATGCCAATTTGATTATGACAGTTGCCAAATTGGTTTTGTTTAATGCCATTTTGAATTTGATTAATGTCAATTTGAACGTGAAAAGGTATAGGATCATTCAGGTTTAGCCGTCTTTAGAGACGTTTTTAAGATAATAAGTTTTGAACTTAATTAGAATTTTGACGTTAAAATTTTAACATCATCTTTAAAAATTTGTGAAAAATCGATTTCTTAAGATATCGTAATGAAATTGTGGTGAGTTATAGAAGAAACTATGTAGTTTGTCATGAACAAACCCGCATATAAAAATCTCTATCCGTTTTTGAGATAATAAATTTTTAAGTTAACTAGAATTTTGACGTTAACATTTTAACATCATTTTTAAAAATTTTTGAAAAATCGACTTCTTAAGATATCTTGATAAAATTGTGGTGACTTGTAGAGGAATCTATGTAGTTTTTCATGAATAAATCCGCATATAAAAATCTCTATTCGTTTTTGAGATAATAAGTATTGAACTTAACTAGAATTTTAACGTTAAAATTTTAACATCATTTTTAAAAATTTGTGAAAAATCGACTTCTTAAGATATCTTAATAAAATTGTGGGAATTTATTGAGGAAACCATGTAGTTTTTCATGAACAAACCCGCATATAAAAATCTCTATTCGATTTTGAGATAATAAGTTTTGAACTTAACTAGATTAATTTTGATGTTAAAATTTTAACATCATTTTCAAAAATTTGTGAAAAATCGATTTCTTAAGATATCTTGATGAAATTGTGGGGATTTAGAGATTAAACTATGTAGTTTTTAGAGACTAGAACCCAAATGATTCTAGTTCTAGGTACAGTGTTAGTTCTACATAGTAACAGTGCTAGTGAAAAACTAAAACTAACACTATACCTAGAACTAGAATCATTCGAGTTTAGCCGTTTTTAAAGACGTGCGGCTCTTAGTTCTAATGACAGTACAACTGCAAGTGAAAAACTAGAACTAACACTATACCTAGAACTAGAATCATTCGGGTTTAGCCGTCTTTAGGGACGTGCGGCTAAATCCTAATGATTCTAGTTCTAAGTATAGTGTTAGTTCTAGTTTTAAACTTGCACTGTCACTAGAATTAACACTATACCTAGAACTAGAATCATTAGGGTTTAGCCGTCTTTAGAGACGTGCGGGTTAACCCAAACGATTCTAGTTCACATTTTAGCACTTAATAACAATTAAAACTAGAACTAACACTAGACCTAGAACTAGAATCATTCGGGTTTAGCCGTCTTGAAATACGTGCGGCTAAATCCGAATGTTTATAATTCTAGGTCTAGTGTTAGTTTTAATTGTTATTCAATTTTAAATTATGATATATTTTTATTGACTGAAAAGTAGAACAAACACTGAACCTAGAACAAGAAACATTCAACTCAGAGTTATCATAAAGACGTCACTTTTTCCGAGTAAAATTTTTCCTTTACAAAACTACCTCATGCCTATACTATTAAGCTATGTTGGATTTTATGTGAGACAGTGCAAGTGCACAGTAAATTCGTATATTGCGAGTTATATTATTCTCAACAAATCATATTTTTTGACAATTAAAACCTTTTTTTTTTAAATTTCTTAATTCACCTTAATTTATCGTCATAAATGTAATTTCTAAATGAATTTTTGTTTTGGTACGAGTTGATTGTGACGTAATATTACGCGATTGACGTCACGAATACTACGTGCGCGTCGTTTTACGTCGTGCGTCATGATTCCCAAGAATCGACTTTCAGTTCCTAGAATTCTCCGCGGCCCGAAATCCATACTCGACATTAATCGCACGAGTCGGGTTTTTGGAGGGGGCCGGCATAGTTATTTTTGGGAATCATATTCAAACTAGATAATGTGAAATGATTTTTAGTCAAAATTGACTCATTGAAAGAATTTGGATTATTTTAAATAGTAATAATTAATTAAAAAACTTGTATTAAACGAAAACGTTTATTTAAAATGACATCAATTGTTCTAATTTTAAAATACATCAATTACTTTTTCCATTAATTTTTCTTAATTTAGCCCTAGATATGTTATCAAAGAATAAAAGCCCTGCTGCTTTTTCTACACTTTCTGGAGGCACCTACAAAGTTAAAATCAATTTAATAAAACTTTTTTGGTTTTTAATTCATAATTTATTAATTTTACCTGAAAATTTGATAATGGGGTGTTATCATCAATTACAGTATTAGGCATAACATAAGCTTCCATTTCTAAACCACCATCTGCAGCTTCCCCTACAAGGATTTTAAAAAAATGTGTTGGAACAGCGACGTTATTCGCCCCAATTACTTCATATCTAATATATTTTTTCCCATCCACATCTTTCCTACAACAACAATCTTATTTTTAACTCCACAAATGATATTCTTTTTCTAACTTTGGTAAATATAAAGGTCCAGTACAACAATATACATTTTGATAAACTTTAGTTAACTTTCTAACATATTTCTCCAATCGATTCCATGAATCCCTATTAAATCCAACACCAACTTGCGGGGCCATATTTGATAAAAAGAACGTTTGTTCGATGTGTTTTTGATGATTTTTATGATTTCCAGCAGCAGCTAAATGTCCTCGATCATAACCGGATCCTTTATAATCCGTGTTTTCCGATCGAAAATATTTATGAATACTTTCATCAGACATAAAGTTACATAAAGCTCTATCAACAGCTTTATTTGGTTTAACAGTTTCACTCGTTAAATGTTCAAACACCCAATGTGCTACTTTCGTCTTTCTGTCATAACTTAAAACATAATCATCAAACGATCGGATATTATCGTAACCAGGAAAACCAAATTTCATTATTTGCGAAACTCTACTTCCTGTATTTGTTGGTGCAGTAGAAAAACTTGTAGCTGCTGATACTGTACCATACAGTGGTAACCCCGGTAGTTTTTTTATGGTTTGAGGTAAATCATTTAGTTTATCTTTATATTTTTCATAATAAGAACCTAAAAGGAAGCTACCAAAACTTACACTCGTTATTAAAACCGTTTTATTAATTATTTTTGGCATTGTTTTGTAATAAGTGAGGTTATGTTTCTAAATGTCAAAAATTAAGTTTATAAATTTATAATTAAAATTAATTTAATTACATTTATAAGTGAATATAAAAGCAGAAAATAACAATATTGTACTCTTATTACGTTTATTAAATTAATATTTGAGTTTTATGTATAAAAATAAATAAATTGACACATTAATGTGAGGTTATGTTTCTAAATGTCAAAAATAAAGTTTATAAATATATTACAAAAATTAATTTAATTACATAATATAAGTGAATATAAAAATAGAAAATAATAATATTGTACTATTATAATTTTTATTAAATTAATATTTGAGTTTTATTAATAAATAAATTGACACATCAATGTGAGGTTATGTTTACATTTTGAGGTTATCCTGTTATTTGATTTTATAAATGGAAAGTAATTGTGTTATTGATAGAGAATTATTAAAACAGCAAAGAAAAGAGCGAAAAAAATTAAAGAAACAAGCGCTTAGAGAAAAAAAATTAACCCAAAAAACCATAAATAATGAAAATCATGATGATTTACATAAAAAAGGTTGCTTCTTGTTTTCGATTTTAGTTTTAATTTTTAATTTTGCTCTTAATAATTAGGTGTTGGTTGTAACAGACATGTTAAATCAAATATTGCAATTCAAGCAACGTTGGAATCATTGCAAAAAGCAAATAAGTCACTAAAAAAGGTGGAAAATAAAAAGAATGAAGTTATTAAGAAGACTTATTCAGGGAATCCGTTAGATTCATCTCAACCTGAAAGATTTAGAGGGAAATATAAAATGGAGACAGAAAATCATAAAATAAAACATAATAAATTAAAGACTGAAATTTTGAAATGCGAAGATTTAAAAGATACTTCCAAAATTTATCATTGTAATAGTATTAATATAATTACTGATGAATTAAATAACGCTGTTGAAATTTACATAAAAAAATTAGTACATTTACAAGATAAAGCTTACTTTAAAAGTTCAGATAAAATTAAATTTAAAAAAAGATATATTTGTGGTTTTCACGAATTAAAAAAGAAACTTATCGTTGGTAAAATAAAATTCTTTATTTTTGCAATAAATATTAGAACTTACGGTAATCATTTCATCTTTAATCGAATTTAAAAAATTACCATATTACATTTTAGCTCCAATTTACAGTTTAATATGTGATATTTCATCATTTGCGAAAGAAAATTCGATACCATTCGTTTTTGCATTAAAACGATCAAAACTGGGTTCATTATGTCATATTAATCGACCTGTTAGTTGTTTGGGAGTTTTAAATCATGATGGAGCTGAGGTTAGTGTTTCATTGTAAAATTTGATATTGATATGAATGTTTTAGGAAGAATTTAAAAATGTTATTGAAAATATATGTCAAAGTTCCAGTGAAGATGTGGAGGAAAAGAAAGAGGATGAGGAGGTTTTAGAGAAATGTAAAAAGCTGTCAATTAATAATTAGGTTTTTTGTATTAAATGTTGTTGGAATAATAAATGTATTTGTTAAAAAAAATATTTGTTATTATTAATTTACATTAATATTAACTCATTAAAGTGTCTATTACATTATACCAGCAATTGGTGCAATCAAGTGATGGTGCCATGTAGCTTGAAACATATAACACACCTGGTACAATATTTAATTCTTTGTGAATACTGTGTGGAACGTGTGGAAAAGGTCGTTATGAATAGTGAAAAAGTTTGTGCTGCAATTATTATCCTAAAAAAAACGAAAAAGGAGTGAACTAAACTTCTGAGAGTTGGAAATCAATGCCGAAAATGATTTATATGACTGGATAAACATCATTTTTATCAATTATTAAGAAAAGTTACCCAATTTCACCATATCATCGTTTAGCTGACACTTTCCGCTTTTTAGCTACTTTTAAATAGTTTTGAAGACTTAAAGTTTTGGACGGCTATTGCTCAACAAACAATTAGAAAAATTGTTATTGAAACATGTGAACCGATAAATAAGGTGCTAATAATGATAAATAAAAAGTGCATAAAGGTGAGTAAAAGCAGTGCCGCCCCCTCCTCCCCAAAATGCGGGGAAAAAATTAAAAATTCATTTTAATTTAAAAAAATAAAAACGAAAGAACAAAAAGATAACTTTTTTTAGCCTTCTAGTTGAATATTTCGGTATAGCTTCTCAACGGTGGACAACTTATTAAAAAAGGCGGCGCCCTTTTAGGCAGCACCCGGGTGCAGTGCACCCCTTGCACCCCCCGATAGCGCCGCCCCTGAGTAAAAGTGAGAAGTAATAAAGCAAAACAAAAAAACTATTATTTTAACCTTTTCTAGCTCCCAAATAACAGTGATCATTGGAAAGCAGAAGCTGATGCTTTTACGACATTTGCAACTTTCCTCATTGCATTGGTGCTTTTGACCGAAAACATGTCAACATTGTAAAACCCAGGGGATTTATCTGGCTACTATTTTTTTAATTATAAGAAAAATTTGTTTATAATTTTGATGGGGGCTGTTAATGCAAACTATTAATTTTTAATGGTTCATGTGGGCATGAATGGTAGGACATCAGATGCTGGTCTTAATGATTTGACATTTTTTGAGAAGTTATAGAATGATGACTTACACAGAATGAGTTATTAGTATCCCGGCGGTCGATAGTTACAAAATTTGTTTGATTCATACATTGAACATTCATACAGAATGTTCCATTTAAGCGTAACGGAGTAAAAACGGTTTAAAAACTATGTAAAACCGATATTGTTTCCAATTTTGCTTTGAAACTACGTCAGATAATAGTCAAAACCAGTAGGTAGATGATAATATTCAAAGATATTAGATACACTATACAGAATGTTTAAAAAGCTCAGGTACTTTTGATATTTTAAGTGAAACATTCTGTATATTGTGTGCTAGTTGAATTGATCAAGTTCCCTTTAATTAATGATAAGTATATCATATGACTAACTTTAATAGTTTTCCTGATATATAGAATTTAAAGAAAAATGTGTAATAAAATGTCATTATTGTACTTAAAAAAGTGACAGAATGTAATACATTCTGTTCTTTTTTGTCACTTTTCTTTGTTTTTTCTATTTTGTTTGTTTGTCATTTGTAAATACGTAATATTATATTAAAATTCAATTAAAAAAAAACTTTAATGAATAAATAATCAAAACGTGATAAAAATACAATTAAATGGCAGAACAATAAATCCTTTTTTTAATTACTAAATTATTTGAAGGAAATGCAACAATAAACTATAAACAATTACTAAACATTGCTCAACAAGTAGGTATTAATTTAATTTATATTTCGAAGATGTTCAAAATGCCGCCCATTTTCTCTTCTACAAGCATTAATGAGCTGTATAAAAGGTATCTCTTAATATGTACATCTTATTTTTTCTAAAGTCGTAAATTATATGACAGAACAATTGCATATTTTATTACTTACATTTTTTTAAATCTCATAAAGTACCAATTCGCATTAAAATCTGATATACGGCAGCAAAATTATTTTACATTATAAAATATTAATCAAATAATAAAAGGAAGAACAAAAAAACCGATAAAAATAGACAGAATATAATATTAAGTACAATAATGCATATTTCATTACACATTATTCTTGAAATTCTACCAAATATCAGGAAAACTACTAAAGTTAAATACAGAATGCCTATTATACAGGTGTCTATTATGTATGGAATATAGTATATATCTTGGTAGGTATCAACTTTATAAAAAAACATTTTATACAAAAGTTGTTTGATATTTGATTTGCCATAATAAGACTGCATTCAATTGTTTTTAATTCAGAAAACAAATGAGTAGCGAATAATACTTACATTTTTTTAAATGGCAATGTATCCTTTCGTTAGACTCATTTGATAGAGATTACTTTTCTCTTTACGATGGCGTAAAAATTTTGTACCCTTACATTAGAAAATTTTTGAGAAAAATGGAAAAATTGTTTATTAATAAAAATTAATCAATAACATTAATCTAGATATCCGAGAAAATTAGTGTACATCTCCAATAATTCGAGGTACTTGACGATCTTGGATATCTAGATTAATGTTATTAGTTAAATTTTCTTAATAAACTATTTTTACATTTTTTTCAATAATTTTCTGATATAACGAAATGATATAACAAATCTCTATTAAATGAGAATAACGAAATGGTACATTGCCATTTAAAAAACTTTAAGTGTTATTCGTTGCTCATTTGTTTTCTGAAATAAAAACAATTGAATTACTTCTTATTATGGCAAATAAAATATTAAATAACTTTTGTATAAAATGTTTTTTTTATAAAGTTAAGACCTACCAAGATATATACTATATTCCATACATAATGGGCACCTGTATATGGAATACAGTACTATACAGGTGATTCACATAAGAACAACTTATTTTTTCATATTCGTGCAAAAACATATAGCAACTAGATAGTATTTACTGTCCGGACCCGTCTACTATAATCAAAATTTTGAACATTACCGCTTACTATTTTAGAATTGAAAATTGAATACATCACACATGCGATACATCATTGGAAAGCTAAAAATATGATCTTTTCAGTAACATCATATTAAACTATAGTTTGTATTTAAAAAAATACAACTTTGTGTTGTATCTCAAAAATCATCAAGTATGTTTACAATTTTTCAACGGCAGTATATTCTACTTAAAAAAGTGTCTTAAGAACGTATCAACCCCATTTCTCTAATTTCAAAAATAAACGAAATATGAGCATTTTTTTAAATCACGAAAATTTGACTTTTTGGCTATAACTTGAAAACAAAAGAAGATAGGTTTGGTGTTTGCGGGATTGGATTGGTCTCGAAAAAAGAGACCGGGACATGGCATCTACTTTTTTCGTATCTCTTATAGTTTCTGAGGTAGCTTATAATAACACCCAAATTTGCCCACCCTGTATAATGGACATTGTACATTGTAAGTTATTATCAGCTACAGAACATTTAGTGTAAAAGAACAAAAAATAAAGACTAAAAATAAAAGATATATCTAAATAAAAGAAAAATCGAATTAAACTTAATTGTTTGATCGTGTTTTTCTTTTAAAACTAATTTAATACAACTATTAATTTACACCATTATTAAAAAAGAACCACTGATTAAAGCATAGCAGTGATCACTGCTCGAGAAGTAGCAAATCAAGAGGGACATAGCGTAATTTGTACTATTAACCTAGCTACTATGCGTCAAAAATTGTAATACATTTTCCGAAGGTACTAAAACGTTAAAAAATAACGACAATATATTTTTTTTTTTTCAAAAATTATAAGAGATCGTGAAAATTTTTTCGAGTAAAAGTTATGTGAAATTATGCTGTCTACCCAGCTGAAGAAAAAAAAATTATAGATTTAAAAAAATAGCGAAATTAGTACTCACATCCGGTATAACCGGAAGTACAAAGAAAATGATTTCATGTCGTAATAATCCGTTTTAACAGCCTAATTATGCATTCCAAATGGTTTTCTTACATCACTAATAATAAAAAAAATATGGGGGTGAGCCATTTCTGAGGGACACCCGATATATTTTGATCGATATATTTTATTCTGTTGTTATCTTTGAGGCACGGTGTCTTGGCTTTATCCCGTTTCCGTGCTCAACTGTATACATTAAATAAATAAATGAGTCGCATTAAAATCTGGTATATGACAGCAACATTATTTTACATCATAAAATATTAATCAAATAATAAAAGGAAGAACAAAAAAAAACTGATAAAAATAGACAGAATATAATAGTAACTACAATAATGCATATTGCGTGTAATGCAAGCTAGATATAATGACATACTTATCATTAATTAAAGGTAACTTCATGGGCAATTCAACCAGCACACGATATACAGGGTATTACATTTAAAAAACTTATGAAAAAAGCCATTTGAAAAACATCAAAAGTAACTAAGCTTTATGAACATTCTGTATAGCGTATCTAATATCTTTGGATACTATCATTTACCTACTGGCTTTGACTATTACCTGCCATAGTTTCAAGGCAAAATTAGAAAAAAATGTCGTTTTTACATCGTTTTTAAAAAGATCCTGTAATGGACACATTTTGGAAAAACAATTGAATATCTCAGGAACTATGAACGCTATGACTTAATAACATATACGGTTGTATGAACAAATGTAATTTTATTCATAATATGATAAAATATACAGGTGTCCCATTTAAAAAAAATCTACATACTCTCCGTTACGCCTAAATGGAACAACCTGTATAAGTGAAAATAATTTTACGTAATAGAAAGTGATGAGTCAAACAACTTTTGTATAACACATTTTTTTCTTTCTCAAACGGTTTAGCAACTATCATCCGCCGGGATACTAATAACTCACCCTGTATATTTCTGACCCAGACCCATTGTCTGGTTTTAGTCTAAAGATGCCATATGTATTTGTAGGTGATGACGCCTTCCCTTTAATGAAAAATTTAATGCAGCCATATAGTCATACAAGTATGAAAAAAGAGCTTTGCAAACATATGTTTCTATTCTAATTATTTATTCATTAACAAAGTTGGTAAGAAATTGTACAACTGAAGACTGCGTTGGTTGTATTGTCTCGGTTGCTAATACTTCCTGGTTAGTAATAACTGGAAAGTTGTTTTGAACTGTAGGTCTAAAAACGTTTGTGCCTGCTTAGGGTGTATGATTGAGAAGGGGGTGTATATTCATCGAAATATGGGGTTGATTTCCACGATAAATACGGAACATATGTTTGAACCGAAACTCCTTTTAAAATTCTGTGTTTTAGTGCTCATGGTACATCTTCTCTGGAACATTCCTGATCGTCCAAAAATTTTAGTTTTTCTAAATACCAGAACGAAGACTCAAACACGTTGCTGGCTCCTGCACCAGATTTTTCACTTTTTTTAAATCGCGCTTATAATTAACAACTTTTTCTCTGTTGGCATCTGGATCTATTTGTTTTAATTTTTTTATCATTTTATTGTAACATTTTTTTAATTCACGATTACAATAGTCTGAACTTTTATCTTTCCACAAACATGGCATTAACTCGTATTCGAGGAATTCCCCCAAAATTTTTTTTTGCGCATTTTATGTGGAACAAAGTAAATAGGTACGTCTTGGTTTCTATGGAAATATATTTTCGTATATTGCATCTTAAGTGAAATTCACTGTATACTTAAAAATCATCTCTTTATTATTGCTGTTATCCTTATACAAAGATAAAAAAGTCCATACTTTTTTGTATAAGTTCTAAATAAGTATGTAGATTTATAATAAATATATATTTTGTAAAAAAAATCTTACAATAAATAATCATATAATACAGATCAATTTTCAATAAATCGATTTCAAATTCAGATTAAGGCACATTTGAGGATATTTAAGAAAAAAAAATTGTATGATATCCAACGTATTAGTCACAAAAGTAAATTGAAGTTAGTTCTTTTGTGACTAACTGCATTTTTATTAAAAAACGGACGGAAAATGTAAAAAAAAAAGAAATAAAGTTAATTAAGATTCTCTTCTTAAAAAATCATCTCTCTTAAATCAAGGGATAAAATAATTATACATTATCAGCTACTATTGTAATGCTTAACTTTTTTTCTGGCCAAGTAAACGTTTTTGGAAGTACTAAAGATTCAGGTTTTGTTAAAACCTGAAACGTAACCGCCATATCTTGCGCTAAATCGTCCGGGATTAAAACATGTAACCAAGGTCCTTTAGCAACATAAGGATTCTCAGAATCAACCATCGTTCCAGTAACGGATGGCGCAACCAAAGTGATCGCAATATCATTAATAATCGATTTAAACGTAAAATGTCGCCCGTGCTTAACACGACCTCGAATAGCAAACGGAAGTAAATTTCCCGCTTCTAAATTAAAAATTAAATGAATCCCATCAAATTTTTTAACAAATTGAAGTTCAGTCGATTCGTTTGGGGGCGGTGTTTTGTTATCGAAATTCGAGCTTCGAATGAGAAAATTGGCTTTTTGTTGGAGATGATGATCGGTGGCGGGTTCATTATCGGTTTCAAAGAGTTTTTTGGATTTTGTGAAGTCTTGGTCGCTCCAGGAACATCGGGCGCTTACCCCACTTAAATTTGAACCTTGCGATTCAAAACCTTGCTCGACTTCTTCGTGAGCCGACGCGTCTAATTCAAAAATACTTTCTCCTCTTCTCATATCTGTTATATGCCATTGGCCACCACTTAAAATTTTTTAATAAAGTTTTTTTTTAATCGTAATTTTAGAGAGAAAATTTAACTTACTCAGTAATTTTCCCAATCATGTCTAAAATCCCGGCCCCATTCCATTGTTGAGCTGCTCTCATTTCATCGGCACAAACCCCAACGATTTGCACAAACTCAACATTTCCGAAAGGTGTCTTTGTGGATCGTAATTGCGGATCAGTGGTCATTAACATATGTTGTATTCTAGATTCGCTGTTATCTAACGCACAATGCCATGAAACGTGATCGCCCGGACATAATGTATTACCTAAACGAAAATGTTTATTTAGCATAAATTTTTATTTGTGGAAAAATTCAGGAATCATCATGTGGGTTAAAAATCGACGAATGTTTTTTAATCAATGTGGAATGACCAAAAAAACATGTTAAAAATAAAAAGATAGTGCGGAAAGGTGTAGATCATAAAAAAAATATTATTACGAAAAATCATATTAAAGTTTCGATGTGACGTCACAAGCAATGTTAATCATGCATTTTCCTATTAAACCGATCAACACCTAACCTACAAATTTGTTGAAAATCAATCTGATAAACTTAAAAGTAAAGTTATTTTCAATAAAGTAAGTGAGATTACAACGTATATGAAACACCCTTGTTTTTCTTAGGGTTTCGATGCATAACGACTGACTAAATGTCCGTAGATAGACTGTATGTCAATAGATTCTGTGTTAATACTAGAACTAACACTAGACCAAAAATTAGAAACATTCGGATTTAGTCGCACGTCTCTCAAGACGGCTAAACCTGAATGATTCTAGTTATAGTGTTAGTTCTAGTGATAGGGCTAGTATAAAACTAGAACTAACATTAGACCTAGAACTAGAAACATTCAGGTTAAGAGATGCACAGCTAAACCCGAATGTTTCTGGTTCTAGGTCTAGTGTTAGTTCCACATTTTTTTCAATAAAAATATACCACAATCTAAAGCTAAATAACATTTAAAACTAGAACTAACACTAGACCTACAACTAGAAACATTCGGGTTCAGCCGCACGTCTCTCAAGACGGCTAAACCCGAATGATTCTAGTTCTAGCGATAGGACTAGTGTTTTCAGGTAAGTATAGGCCTAAGCCAAAATCAAAAATCAATCATTTGCATCCAAATACATAAAGAGTGACTTGTAATTATTACTAACTTGATCGTTTAAAATGGCAACATTTGTATTTGTATTGTGTTTATTAATTTCAAAAAGCTCCAGAAGATCAAGCTTATAACCCTTAGAACATTCATGACGTAATGAAATGTTTTCATAATCTATGACCCGTCTCGATATGATGTTTATATAAATTAGATTGAGTTCTTCATTTCTGTTCAATAATTTTGTTTCCTAAACGACGTCCTGTTTGTCCAATATAAATCCCGTTACAGTTAGAACATCCAACCGAGTAAACACCATTTTTACGAAGTATATTCCCATTTTTAGGGTGGTAATTAGATAAAAGTTTAACAATAGAAAAATTGTTAGAAAAAGCTTAACAGGACTGCTACATCCATTGTTGTGACAACCTGCCCGCAAACTACGTCACACCATTTTCCACGCCCTGCTGTTGTTATGGTCTATGTGTTTGCTGTGTATTTTTAGAGGTTATATCCTAGACGTATTCATATTATTTTTGAAGTTTTATGTTTTTAGACGTATTAATGTCTATCGTATAACCTCTAAAAACACAGACAGTTACCAGGCGTGGCAAATAGTGTGACGTAGAGTGCGGGCAACCAACCCGTAGTGGACTACAAAAATACAATGGATGTAGCAGTCCTGTTAGATTCTACTGTCCTTGAGAAAAAGCTAATTTAATTTTATATTTATCAAAAATGCTTCTAGAAACCAAAGATATTATACAGGTGTTTCAGGTTTTTGTAGCAGGACTTTAACAGTCGATAGATCTTTTAAAATTAATGGAACTGGTCGTGGTGGACCAGTTGCATGGCCCCCACGGTCTGCAGATCTTAATTCTTTAGATTTTTTTTGTATGGGGATATTTGAAAGGAAAAGTGTATGCAACACCTGTTTCCACAAGGGAACAACTTATTAATAAGATTAGGAATGCTTGTAATGACATAAGGCCGTTCTTAAATAATATTACTCGGTCAGTCATAATTATGTATCCAGCAAAATGGTTCACATTTTCAATTTTTTTAAGTTTTCATTTAAACAATTTCTTTAATTTTTTTCTTGCATTATTCAGATTAAAAAACATTAATAAACTAAAACATTAGTGAACTTACTTACTTTGTTTCCATGGCACACATTATTATACCTATCGTTAAGTATCCCCTAATAAAATTGGTCTATATCGAATAATAAAAAGCGGATTATCTTGAAAACGAACAACTTTAGCGCATTTTGATAAGAGTACCTTTTTTGTTTAAAAAAGTACACAGAATAAGAATTTTTATTCAAAAAGCCAAAAAGTATACTGCCAGAAAAGTTATTGTTGTTTTAAAACGTAAAGAATCGGTTGAAATACACGTGTAATATTAAATAAAAAATCAATTTAAAAATTTAATTTGAACACCTGTATTTCCAAAACAAAGCATTTGTCGACCTATGTTTATATGAAGTTTTTGTGTTAATTTTAAAAGATCTATCGACTGTTAAAGTCCTGCTACAGAAACCTGAAACACCCTGTATATGAAATGGGTTTGTAAATATGATTATCATTCTCTCTAACATACAATGGGTCTTTACTTCGAAGTAATCTGAAATGTAAACCATTGATAATATTTAAAGGAAAACCGTAATTCAATGCAAGAGTATGAATGTATTTAAATTCATCAATTTTGTGTTTTTCTGATAAAGGATAACTGATGGCACGGTTAATCAAATAACGAAAATTCGCCAATTTTTGAGACATTGGGTGAAAAGAATCAAAAGGGATTGTAGTTGGGACTATAGAAGGTTTCCTATAAATATTATAAAATAAAGTATTATTAATTCTGGTAAGTTAAGTGTAGTGATCAAGGAAGTTAAGTGAACACTCTTTGTGACTTTATTAAATAAAAATTTTTAAGCATGTTAAAGATGTTTTTAACCATTTTCCCCATTTTACAAAATATACTTGTAACATGGATTTTATTTTCGATAAAAGATTAAGTTTGTGGCGATAGCTGTGAGGTGGTTGGATCAGGAGGATGGAAAGTAGTGTTAGTTGAGTTATAAAAGAGCACGTAGAAGGTGGCCGACATGAAGAGTGTATAATTTTTGCTTCTTCTCCAGACACTGCTTGGAAAACTTGCGATGCGACCCTCTGCTGATAAAGGGGAGACAAGAGGGAGATAAAGGGGGTAGTCCGTGTTTGCGTTTTCCTCCAATAGGTATCTCCTATCTTCCGCTCGTTGGCGAATCGATCGACTCATAAGAGTCCTTTTCCATCACCATTGTCTCCAATAGAACTTAGGGGTTGCTCAACGACAGTTCTTTCACCATCGATACGTCTGGTATCATTACACAACTAATCCAACACGTGGCACGTGCTGCGCGAAGAACTGTGCCGCACGTGTTCGTGCAGACGCGAGTTGACACGTGCTGTGCTGTGTCATTTCACACGCGTCTCAATTTGCGCCTAGAACTAACTCAACCTAGAACTAGAAAGTATCGGGTTTAACCCACCCTCTGCTCCATTCCCAACCCCACATTTGAGAAATTCGCACTGGTTTAAATGTTAATTAACCTAACTCAAAGTGGAATTTCTACACAAAATTCTGAAATAAATCAGTAAATTAGGTGGGTCCGAATGTAACGTTTAAAGAGGGGGCAACCCCCCCCCTCTAAAAAGATATGTCGCATTTGAGTGACAAAGAATCGAGTGTTGTAGCAGCCATTTTTAAACCCGTAATGGAAGGGACACAGAAAGATATCACTCAAGGGAAGAATAGTTTCAGTAAATAATCTTCAGCCAGTAATATTGTAATCTTCAAGTACTTAGTAGTGTTTTGGCAGCAGTATATAGTGTTCTAAAAGCATTAAATAGCCTTTGCTAACAATATCTAGCTTTCTCCAAGCAATTAGTAGCCTTTCCAACAATATTTAACATTCTGAAAGTAGTTAAGTCTTTTAGAAACAGTATCTTGTCTTTCCAATCAGTTTGTAGTTGTTTGTTAGCACTAGTCTTCTCCAAGCAGTTTGAATTTTTTTATCTAGCATTTTCGAAGCGGTAGGTACCTTTTTTGGAGAGCATATCTCTTCTTTCTAAGTAGTTATTAGTCTTTTCCAGCAGTATTTAGCGTTCTGGCAGCATTAGGTAGTTTTTTGGGAAGCATATATTTCTTTCCAAGCAGTTATTAGTCTTTTCCAGCAGTATCTAACATTCTGGAAACAGTAGGTAGGTTTTTGGAAAGCATATCTCTTTTCCAAACCATTCTTAAAGTCTTTGAAAGCAATAAGTACCCTTGGAAGCAGTATTCCGCCTGTTCAAGTAGGTCAAAACCTTTAGCAGCAGTGTTTAGAGTTCTGGAAGCAATAGGTATTATTTTGAAAACAGTATCTAGTCTTTTCTAAGTGAGTTGTGGTCTTTTTCTGCAGTATCTAGTATTTTACAAGTAGCAGGTAACTTTTTGAAATAGTGTTTTATCTTTCCAAGCAGTTTTTAGTCTTTTACTAGCAGTATTTAATCTTGTGATACCAATAATTAGTCTTTTACCAACAGTATCTAGCATTCAGGAACCAATAAGTTAAATAGGAGGATATAGATTTCAGGTTATCATTAGTTTATAGATGGTAAACAACAACATTTTAGTCGTTGTGCGTCGAAAACCTAAGAAACAACCGTATTTGACCCAAAAATATGCGAAAATATATGGTTAGTACCGTTGATGACGTCACATGAGTGATTTTTTGATAAGTTTTACACTTTTCTGCAGTTTTTTATTTGTAAAAATTATCGATTTTTAAGATTTTTGACATGATGATTCATGAATTATACCTTATTTTATTTTAATTAACCTGATTGAAAGACGTATTTAGCTAAAGATTGCATTAAAGTAGCCGGCCATGTAGGTGGGGCCGTTTCACCAGCTTCTCGTTTCAAACGAAACGTTAATTCAAACCCAAAACCTGAAATTCCTTCCGGGCATGAAACATCGTGAACTCTTCCATCTCCGTGAAGATCGGACAAACCAAAACTAATGTAATGCCAGTGTGGGGGGATGTTTTCGTGTGGAACCCCTGGATTTGCATACATCGAAATATAATCTAAAGGATCTGGACCACCTAACCTATTTTCAAAAGAAAATTCTATAAATAACTCCCCCATTTTAAATTTATAACAAAACCAAAAAAGAACAATTCCTTCAACAGGAAGTAACTAAATAGGGTGGTAAAATTTAAAAATAGCTCACCCCAAAAATACCAAATTTAAACTCACCAAAATTTTAATAAAGCTGTAACTTGTAAAGGATTAACTTGATCGGGATAAATTTTTCGACATAAACTATATAAAGATTCGAGTCCGGCGGGCGTTGGTGGTAAAATCGGGGGGCCCTGAGCAACCGCTGCCACCACCTCGTCCATTGTCAACCCGTAATATTCGTAGATATCTACTTAAAGAAGTACTATTACATAACGAAATGTTTATTTAAGAATCAAACGTACCTTTAAGTTATTCTTAAAACGTAGGAACCATAATAAACGCGAAGAAAAGTAACAAAAACCCGATCGGGTTTGACTGGAATGTCTGAAATAGAACTTGATGTTGTTTCTTGAGGTTATGTTACCCGCGATACAAAAACAATATAAAAAGTGAGGCCATTTTGAAGAAAATAAAATCACTATTCCCTTTTAATACTTTTTTTTGATACTACAAATTAAAACGACCAAATAATTGTTTAAGAATTATATAATTATTAATTTAATTCATTAATTGGTCAAATCTTACAAGATTTGTTATTAAAAATTATGTTTTTCTTCTCGATGTATGTAATTATTTAACGGTTGGTAGCACTAACTGTAAAAAAAAAGATAAACGTCAAGTTGACAGATAAAACGTCAACTTTGTTTAAATAAAATTTTATTAATCAAATTACTCAAACAATACAAGATTTTAAACTCAATTAGTTTTAATTAGCTTTTAATGTTGCGTGCTTATTAAATTAACTCTAGAAATGAATTCGTTTTTTAACTTAAATTTATTCGTGTTCAGTGTAGCGAAAAATTGATTTAACATCACGATAATAATCGGTTTAAAAGAAAATATTTAAGGAGAAATGTTGGATTCATCGCCGGAAGAGGAAGATTTTCCAGGTAGACTCCTTCATCAGGTGATTAATTAAGATTAATTATTCTCACAATGTAAAAGTGATTTTTTTTAAAGGCTGCTTTATGGGATAACACGGAACTTTTAGAAGATCTTTTAGCTGGGGGGCAACAATCTTTTATTAATTCGCAGGATAGTTGGGGGAGGACACCTCTTCATGCAGCAGCAATTTGCGAAAATTCTCGATGTTTACGAATATTGCTCAATGCAGGGGCGGATCCGAGTGTTCAATGTGGTCCTCAGGGTGAAAATAAGGTTATAATTAAATTAAAAACCTTTCTAATTTGTAAATTTTGTTAATTTCTTTGAATTTTCTTGGTTAGACTCCAATGCATTTGTGTGCTGAACATGGTTACGCCGGTAATATTAAGGTTTTGTTGCAACAAGGGGCTAGTATGCTGACGAGAGATATTAATGGAATGACTCCTTCTGATTTAGCAGATAAAGCTGGGCATACCGAGTGTATTGGTATACTCAAAGAGGCTGCGGGTAAGTAATCAAAATAAATTCAAAAAATATTTAAGGTTATTGATCCCACAAAAAAAAATTAATAATAAAATAAGATTATTTTGATTTATCAAAATGACCTTCGTTATCTAAAACCAGTCCTTTAATTAACATTCTTATCTAAATAACACCAGTTGTTATTATTTAAACATTAACCCAGTTATAAATCTAAATCCAAAACCAATTATCTAAAAATACAAAAAAAAATTATAAACTTTCTAGTCATTCATAAATAATAAATAATTCTTATCTTTGTGGTGATTTTTAAATGGTAAGAAGTTTTTAATCTCTATCTTTTAAATTGGATCATTATCCTTTCTCGCGAAGGCTGCGCGTTTTTCATCCAACATCAGTAACGTTTGATAACTCGCCGCGACAACACGATTACTTTCGTTTACGCGCAAGTTTAAACCGGTCGTTTTAAAATAGCCGCGCGAAAATTGAAAAAAATTCTAAATACCACGATGAATCTTCAGCACGTAATGATCCGATGTATTTGTACCGGAATTTTACTCTTAATTTTATTGTATCTAATCGCGGTGTTGTTACAAAAGAAATTTGCGCGAGAATTGACGACACCGATCGTGGAAACCGAAACTTTTAGACCGACCACGATGATGTTTGAACTTCAAACTCGGATTAAAAACGATTCGAAACTGATTTAGATGTGTTATTTTTATTTTTTTATAAGATTTATGAGTTGTAAAATGAGAATGTTTGATTTATTTTTGTGACCACAACGGATTTAGATCGATATCTATAATACGGTGGGTTATTCGTTTTTTTAAACCGCGATTATTCTTTTTTAATTTTTTTTTTGGTTTCGTTATATTGGTTAAGGTTGAGTATTGATCCGTATGGAGAAACAGCTGTAGAATGGCTGTAGTATGGTAGTCGCCAACCGGGGTTTTAGTTGGGGTTTTGAGGAGGGTTGGGTGAGAACGTGCCCTTTTTAGTTGACATTTAAACTGTTTTGAATAGTAAGGGTCGAAGAGAAATGTTTTGAGAAAAGATTTTTTTTTAAATAGATTATTTCCGGTTTTAAAAAGGCGAGAAAGATTAAGTGGATAAAAAGAAGTTTAAATGATAACAAGTGATATTTTATATTTTTTATAACAAAGTAGTGAAATGGCTAAAATTAAAAAATTAACTTCACCTGATTTGGCTTTTGACGCTTGTGATTATTTCACTGATGATGTTGTTGTGGCTGTAGAAACAGGTAAAAAAAATATTATTGGTGCCTCCTTATGCTGCCTAGCCTGTTTTTCCATCTGCCGCGCTCTATGGAGTGACTTACGTTTAGGGATTGCAATCAAGAAAAGTTTTTATAATACCGGGATTTCGGGATCAGAATTCTCTATCACGGGTAATCCCGGGTTTTATGGGCTACTAGAGGTGGAACGGATATCATCCGTTTGTTCGGATATTAAAAACCTATCACTTAGTACTCCACCATTCAGGAATTAGTATCTCTTTTATTTGTTGGACACTGCAGATAATAATCAAGTTCAACCCCAATAGGACTTTTTTCATTGAATACAACCTTATTTATACCAGGTTTGTCATTAGCAACCTCATTGTAACAATCCCAATACGATATATAAAATCTCTTGTTACAGTTTTGTCTAGTTTTCTACTCTTCGCTTATAATTCATCATCACATTCATTACTAACAGAACTACTGCTGTTATCACTTTCGATTATTAATTAAAGTATCCTCTTTTTAATGCAAAAAGCCGTTTTGAAAAATCACTTTCAGTTCTTGAGAAATAAATTTTTGAAATGATCGACAATTTTTT